CATTGTTTTTAGGGTTACAATCTGTCCAGGGACAATAAATGAAAAATAGCCTATTAATGTAGACTATTCATGAAAAATTCTAATTAATGTACACTGTCCCATGCCAAATAATAAACAAAAATAAAAAATAAAACGATAACATAATGAACTATGAGGGAGAACACTTAATAAGTAACCTAATAATAACAAAATAATTATTTAATAATTAAAATGGATGTAAAGTTTTTAATTAATCAAGGTTTTGATTTTAGGTCATATCGCCCAGCCCTAGAAACCCTGTATACATCTTTACTATAAATGATGCTCTAGTGGAGCCGTGATCCATGAGTCTGGGCATCTTCCTCATTTGTGATCAATGCAAAGGGCCTCTTTGGCTGGTGGCCATCCGAATCTCCTAATTGAGCAAATATTTTCTCTAGCAAACTGTAACGAGTCCAAATCAATCAAGTGTATTGAGAGAATGGACGAAACAGACCCATTTACCATTAGCAGGAATCCAGCAGAAATGACTTGAGTGTGGGGATGTTTTTAAGGCTTCTCTTTCCATGTTTTCCCAAGGTTTTAGAGTTATGTGTGTTTGCGAAAGTGATGTGTGTGTATAATTTGTAGAGTCTAAGAGAAGCACAAGCTCTAAGTGTCCGGGATTAAAGCTCAGCAGGAACTCTTGGTTTTTCCTCTCGTTACACATTAAAAACACCCTGTTCATTAAGAGAGGAGTCAGTTCTCCCACTTTAGAGGATGGGCTGTTTGTCTGTGAGGGGATGGAGGAAACCAGCTGTCCGGGTGCCTTTGGCTCTCGGTGTCTTTGTTTACAGAGCCAGTAGATTGCAGAGGAAATTCTTTCTGTTTATCTAACTTGCAAATCCGACCCAAAACAGAACAGCCGTTCCTCAGGATGAGACAGAGGCATGGTCTGGCATATCTCTTCTTCCTCATCTTCTTCTTCTTATTATCTATGGCGTCTTCTGCTGTCTTTTTGTAACAGTTCCTTCTTTTCCAAATGACTTTCAAATTTGCTTCAGCTCAATGTTTTTATCAGCTTCAAAATATTCTCCATCCTCTTAAAATGAATATTGACTCATTATTTACTCACTCTCAAGAGTTTCGAGTTAAACACAAAAGAAGATATTTTGAAGAAAGTTAAAAACCTGTTAACTTCCATAGTTGGAAAAGCAAATTCAATGAAAGTACAGCTGGACGATAATTATCATGATATATATTTTTCGATAAAATGATAATGACAGTTCGATAAGTGTTCGATAATATTTACGGACTTTGCGTAACGCTTCGCAAGCATTTTGCAGCCTGCCCTTCCGGATGCCGCACTCAATACAAGTTTATAGCCATACAATGATAGACTTGGAGGAGTAAGGAAAAATAAAGTAAAAAAGGTCAAAGTCACAGACATTGTTGATAAGAAACGTCACTAGACTTTAGTAGACTGGAGCTACTTAGTTTTTGCAATTCAACACAAAACAGAGCAAATGTACACTGCAAACTGCGCAAACCTGATTTAACATTTAAAACAAAGCCACCCTCATGAAGATGCTGAGAAGTTACAAAGCCAAACAAGTGTTAAATAAACTAGTGCAACTACCATTATTGTCCCTAAATGATGGTGATATAACCAGCCTATATATATTTAAAGGACATAATCATCGAGGAGAAATCAGATGCTCAAGACATAATCTTTAAAATAATGACATCTTAAAAATACAGCAAATATATGACAGACGTTTACAACAGCAATGGATCATTAATTCAATCTTTATTTTCCACGGAGTGGCCGCAGATGTTTAAGGCAAGCACAAACAAAAAAATATATACACTTTATACATTTTCTTTTAAAATGTATCTTTTTGCAACAAGTTTCGTTTTGTATAATGTGTAACTTACTTGTAGTTTATTTTTTGTTGGTCAGTTATCCACAACATAAACAAGAAGAACGAATATCATGAGGTGAAGCGCTTCAAAACAAGTCCGCTATAGTATGCTTCAGCACCAAAACAATCCATTAAACTGTTTTCATGGTTTCAGTTTGATTCGTTTAATCAAGCAGCCCAGTCTTTATAATCTATTCGCAGCACTGATAGTATTCTCCGATTATTTCGTAAGAATAAACTCGGACTGAAGGTTGAGAGAAACTCGTGTGAATGGAGATGCTCCCCGCATGTCTCACCGTGATTTGCCATTTTTAAAATAAGAGTCTGCATAGGCCTATTCGTGCCAGTCTGTCAGATAAACAGCTAAAAACACCTGCAGATATAACCAAAATCTGCGCATAAGGGGTTTTTCATGCATCCCGCAATATGTGATGTCAAGAGGGTGACTCCATAAAGGTTAACTGCACACACTTGATTATGTAGTGCATGGATGCGTCTCACAGCGCAAAGCATATCTAAACTTTTAAATGTCCATGCTTAATCAGTCATCGATAAGGTCTATTGATTAAAGGGTTATTGACAATCAATAGATCATCAAGTAATCGTTAGCATCCCTAATTAACATATTAAAGTTCTAAACATTCTGTCACCATTAACTCACCTTTTCTTGTTAAAACCTCTTTTCCTTTTGTTCTGATGTTGAACAATAATATCCAATAGCTTGTAGGTAATATCTTTGGTTGTTGAAAACTTGAACAGTAAATGCTGAATTAAGATTGTTCATTTGTTTATTATTTTTTATTTATATTGTCAGACAGCTAAAACATTTCTCAAAATTTGTTAAATCAGCTGCACAAATCGATTGACATGCTGAAAAGGCTTTAATTAATAGATTTATAATAATAAAGATTTGAAATTTATCGTGTTAATTATTAGAGCTGTGAACCTACACTAGTCTCATGGTTCGTTCGGTTACGATTATCATGCCATAGATTCGGTTCAATTCGATATCTCGGTGCATCACGGTGCATTGACGATGCTTTCCATACACAGTTTTATATTTTCTTCACAGCAGCAGTTCTTGTATTAAAATATATGAATATATTTATATATTATTTGTAATACAATTTTGTCATTAAATACAAACAGTCAGATATATAAACTGTAACTTTAAACAAAACGAGCATTAAGCAAATAATATAAACAAATATAAACATCCAGCTCATTTTCTGATCCTTGTCTAGTTCTCTTACACCTCTTTGATTGGTCACACCCTCAACAAAAACGGTTGCGATTGGCTCTTGCACGCTGCCCTCTTCAGATAAGTGACACTGATAAGCAGCAGGCGGCAGCGGCGATCTCAGAGCTGATGCATGATAGACACGGTGGAGAAAACTCTGCAGACACGCGCTCGTTTCTGTATCCAAAAGTAACGCTGTAAAACAGCCGAGAGGAGAAGAAAAGCCACCCCAGCCGGTCAAATGGGCCACTGTGTGTGTGAGAGAAAGAGAGAGAGACAGAGACTGAGCGAAAGCGAGAGAGAGAGAAAGAGAGAAATGGAGTAGGCTACTTTCATTCTCTCAATCTCAGTGAAATAGGGGCTATTGTTGTGTATGTCAGTGAAAGACTGATCCAGCAAACACACACAGTGAACTTGTGCACAGTTTATGAGTTTTAAGTAGTTAAAGCGTTGTAAATACTCGCGATCGCCTCCCTCGCAACAGAGCGCATATGAGGTAAATGACGTCAGTAATAACCGGTTATGATTATTACTGAACCGATACCGAATTGTCCGCGTCTGCATCACGGAGCACCGAAAAAAATATAAATTTTGACACCCCTATTAATTATCGATATGGACTGATATGAAAAAAATATTATGTTTATTGTTTGTTTTTGTTTTTTTTTGCAATATCGCCCAGCCCTATATGGAAGTCAACAGTTACAGGTTTTCAGCTTTCTTCAAAATATCTTCTTTTGTGTTTTGACACAAGTAAAGGGTGAGTAAATAATGTCAAAAATTAAAATTTTTGGGTGAACTACCCCTTTAATCTCTATTAATCTTCTACAAAACACATTGGTTGTGTCCAGATTGCGCAGGAAATTCAGTCTGCTTATCTAAACCTAAAATCACAGTTCCTCAGGCCAAGAACGACCCATGGTCCAACATGTCCTTCGTCTTCATCTTGTTTTTACAAAGCAGACTGGTCATAGAGTGGTGTGTGTATAAATAGTCTTCAGTCTGGTCTTTCAGACAATCATACAAATCCTCCTCAAACTCGACGGAAAACTAGGTTTGGATGTTTGGCTGGAAATTGTAATTACTATTGAGTGGGCATTCGCATGAGGTTTCCTCCATTCACAGTGAATCCAATGTGCCTTGAATATTAGCTCAGAAAATGACATCCAGCAAATCTATAAGGAAATACAACAATTTCTCTGTTTGTCTCTTTCTTTACGTCTTCTCACCCAGATCCAGCGTCCTCCTCTACACCACAGTGATTTGTTAATCTTCACAATTCCCTTCCAAATCCAGGAATTGAATAAATCATGTCTGGAATCCCGTTGCACACAACATGTGAAAAGGCTCTCTGTGGCCCCTGCACAATGAAGCATTTAAACACTATATTTAGGTCTCCTTTTATATACAGTACTAAAAGGCAGAATCCAGTGGTCTATATGAAAAGGACATTGTCCCGGAAGGTCAGGAAGGCTGCTCCGCATTGCTCTGTGAAATTCTTCAGCCTACTATGCGTGTATTGCTCCCAGTAGAATTTGCATGTTTCATTCCCACACAACTGGGCATGTCAAGTGGGAGCAGTGTCTCTCGCTCCCAAAACAAAAACCAAAAAAGAAAAGAAAAAAATGGGAAATGGAAAGATTTTTGTGTTTGTTTATTTATTGATGTACTTTCAAATTATTTATAAATATTTAGGTCAGCAAACAAATTAATAATTGTAATATCTTGGCAATGGACCAAATTTGAATTTAGAGTTTGACTCCCAAATCAAAATCATCTCAGTTACTGAATAAAAACTGTTGGAATTGATTGAAAATGAAATGAATGACTGTAAGTTTTGGTTATGTTGTTTTATTAATTGCAACTTTTCTTTACAGCACTGCTGCCATGGCTGTCATGTTTCAATGTGGACGAGAAGAACAGGATGTCATTCAGTGGACCAGTGGAGGACATGTTCGGATACACTGTCCAGCAATTTGAGAACAGTGAGGGAAAATGGTACGTTTAGTATTTATATACAGCTTAAAATGCACTGTCTTATGATTTTGGTATATAAAGTATTTTTCAATGAAGTTTATGATTTGAAAGTTTGAAAGGATCCCTTTAATACAGTGGCCGAGAAAGCTTAACACGCTGTAATTTAAGAAAACACATGCAATTACAAAAAACACCAGCAAATAAAGAAACTATCTCCATCAGTTCGACAGCACATGCAAATTCTCACAACACAAACAACTGAAGAAACGTGCTGCATTTTGTCACAACACAACCAATTCAAGAAACACACTACATTTTGACACAAAACAAACAATTGAATAAACACACTGCATTTTGTCACAACACAAACAATTGAAGAAACACACTGCATTTTGTTATACTGTAACACTTGCAAATATTAACATTTCAAATGGACCCAAAAAAAGACGGACCCTGCTGATGATTGGTTGTCTTTTAAAAGTAGGGCGATCAGTAAAATGAGGATCTGCATCAGATTTCAGAGGTGCTGTATTCAGATCTGGCGTGTTCCAGCACAAATTAAGCCTTCCCTCCCTCCCTGTTAAATTTGTTAAATCTAATCCATGTCTAATCCAAATCTAAAACACAGCCCCTCTCCTGCTTTCACTTCTAATGCTAACAGATGGAGCGATTAGTTTGTGAATGGATCTCTGTTATAAACGACTTAGCCGACAATAATAAAAGTGTCTGGCACCGCATCATCTTGTTGTCATATTTCACTTACATTGTTTGCTTATTTTATTCAACAAAACTAGCATAAGCATAGGATTTACTGTGGGTTGGTGCTCTTTTGCCTTATGGTGAATGCAGTAGGTGACTGTATCATTATCAATAACGTGACTTGTTTAGCACAAAAGTTTATAACACACAAAAACGTAAAAAACGAAATCTTACCAATGAAATGTTCTGCCATTATGCTTTGATTTCTTTGTTTGCTCGTTACTACACCCGTACACAGCGCTAAAGTCCAGCGTCTTCACGTTGGCACATTGTCTTGACTAGTGCGGTTGAATTACTTTTGTCTTGGGAGCACTGTACCAATGTGGTGCCGCTATTGATGCATGCTCTGTTTTCGTATGTTATACCTAGTGTATATATCCGCTGAACCGCATCATAGCTCATTTCTCTTTGACGCCCACATTGGCAAAGACGCACCGACGCTCTCGCCACTTGTGGTTTGAACGCAGTTACAGTTAATTGTGACATTTGTCTTGTATTTTTGTACGCTTTTCACATTTTCATATACTTTTTTGCTCTGTAAAATTTAATTTACAACATTGCAATTTACCTCATGGTTTCATACATGGCTTATAACCATGGCTTATAAGACTTTTAAAAAACCCTGAGGCAAAATGAATAAAAAAAATACCTTCCTAACCAGTGCTGCTAAAAAAATGCAGCAAAAATAGTCATGACAAAAGGTTTTATTGTAGAATTTTATTTACAAGCCTAATACGAACTATTGTCATGATAAATCTATGAGCACCCTGCACATAAAGTCTGCTTTTGTAATAGCTCAAATATAGACTTCAATCTAATGTACTCAGGCCTGCTAACTCCATTAAGCATATAAATAAATGGAAAGGATTCCCTCCTCTACGAAACAGTTCCCCTCAGTGAAACCTTAGTGAATTCTGACATCTGCAGCCCCTTAAAACCAGTCCAGCGGCACGTTTCAGGTTAACCCTCTACCTCCAGAGAAACACCTCAGCTGCTGTGAAAACCCCAGGACAGCTTTACATAAACCTCTCACAGGTGGCCTGGACTGACTTGTAAACCTTGCCAATGATCCGCTCAGGGTCGTTAGATGATGTGACAGACTTTGGATAGGTTTTAGGGTTTTTCTGAGGATCTCTGAAGAACTAAACAAGTCTTTTTAATAAGAGTCAGAAGTTAGAGGAGTTGACACTGAGTGCACATTCCACTAGGGCACTTTTTTTTACTGTACAGTGTGATTCAGTTATACCCACTTTTGGGGGCTTTTTTAATTTAATTCGTACCTAGTAGCAGATGCTTTATCACTGTAAGTTTACAAGCAAGCTGTATCTGCTTTTTAAGTCATGACATATCGGTGACGTATGGAATACAATTTCTAGGTGCAAGCCGCTACTCAATTGAATTGAGAAAATATTTGCTTATGGATACTTTTTAGTTATATCACATTTTAAAGTGAATTTTATATAAAATAAGAGTGTACACATCAGTCTCTGGACTTGCTGCATCACAAATACCAAAATTTTAACGATTTATAAAAAATTGATCACTTTTAGGCCATCAGATATTAGACATGGAATTATATGGTATGTAGTGTGATTGTGATTTTTGAAAGTATTACATTGCTTTGTAAACGTTTATTATAAGCATTTGATGAGTCTCCCCATACAGTTTGATATAGTGCTTGGACTCGGAAGCCAATTCACATGACGTCATACTTAACAAGTGGTTTGTTACCAAAATATGTATGCACAACACTGAACACAGATTGGAGATTGAAAGAGAATCATCACTACCAACATTACTATACCATTGCCATTGGATTAGATTAGGTTAGGTTAGGTTAGGTTAGGTTAGGTTAGGTTAGGTTACTTTATATAAACCTAAAGGTAGATTTGGTTTACAGTCAAGAGTCCTCATTTCATAACACAAAAACACACACAAAAACCTCACATAGTAACAATAACAAATGGACATTAAAACATAAAACATAAACATACAAATCACTTATAAATAAAAAGTAGTCACTTCAAGTGTCCACCTCCAAAATAAATGTTTAAAACAATCTATAAAATGTAAAATATACAAGTCACAGAAATACCTCTGCTTTATTTACTGTAAATGTCTAATGACTGCTGGTATAAAAGTTTTTTTTTTGTAACATTTAGTTCTATAGCTTAATACTAAAAACCTGCGACCAGAAGAAAGCAGCTGAAACTCTGAGTGTATGGGGATGAGCAGTGTCACTTAAAATTGAATTTGTAATTAGTTTTACTGTAGCTGCCTGGTGTACACAGCCTCCAGATTGGCTTATAGTGACAGTCCAGTCAGCTTACTGGACCACTTAACTATTTGATTTAGTGAGTTTTTATTCTCAACAAAAAGATTTTAAAACCATGACACCAAAGTAAAAGATAAGACAGATTCAAGAAAAATATGGTAAAATAAAATCATCATGTGTTTATTAATATTGAAATTATTTAACTTTGTCAAACAGAATTGTCGCTGGTCCCCATTTTACACACTTGGATTTTCACCAAACCCAACTATACTTCATTAGTCAGCACTCAGCAATAACCAGTGCTAAAGAACATAGTTCCATCAGTAGCATCCATTACCTGTTTTGTGGCTTTGTTTGTCTTGCCTGTTTGTTTATGTTGCGTTTACAATGATCACAACTTTAGTGATGTTCCCTCCCACTTAAAAATGCAAACTGAACTTAAGCGAGCTAAGCTGTGTCGATCCGTACTGTACCACGCAGTGGAAAAGTGACTTTAGTATTTAAGTTTTAAATATTTAAATATTTATATGAATTAGGAATAATTCTTTAAAAATTATAATCTTGGAAATATAAACTTACACTTCAAATTTGCACATTCCTTTCTTTCAAAATGAGTAGTTTAGGAGAATGTTCTTGTTTTCTTAGATTTTTCATTTAATAAATAAGCAATTCCAGCGTTATGGATGTGACATTTGCAGTAAAAACTCAAAATATGAATTCACAGAGAAAGTATATGTTAACGTTATATTAAAACATCTCTTTATATTTTTCAAAACTACCTACTACAGATTATGGGATCAGCAAAATATCAATCTGTGAACATATTTTATATTTTAAATCAGGAAAATAAATGAGTTTACAATATACAACAGACTTTTTAGGAATTCTGTGAATTAAACTGCACAACCCAAAATAAATAATACTAATCTAAATGATAAGAGTCGGCTCACTATAAAATAAACATCGTAGATTTTATTTAATATGAAATTTTTGCATTTATGAGGGAAAAGCTTCATTATGAATGTGACACCTCTGCATTATGGATGTGACCGATGTGAAATTGCCACTTGTGTGACTTTGGTAAATCAAATATAAGTTTGAAAACACAGACAGAGACAGCTTTGAGATTTTTTAAAGTACTGTAAAACACAAAAAATGTCGAAATGGTTTCTCTATTTTGGTGAAAACTTTGGTGATTTTCTTTTCATGGCTAGGTTGACATTTTATTGGAATTGCTCAAATGTGAATGTGAATATCTATTGAGCTCATAAAATGACTTGAGAAACAAAAAAAAAAAATATCCTAGAAGTGATCTGTGACACATGACATTTTGGTATGAACCGATATGCAAATTCAGGCATATACTGATTATCGATAACTTAATATTTAGAAGCTAATTAAATCTTGATACCATGGTATATAATATGTAAACAAAAGCAATGGACAGCTGATTTTATTTCAAAACCAGCAAACTGCTAACAGACATCTAGATCTTTATTTTCCTCAAATCATTTATTCTAATTCCAGCTCTGCAGATTAAAATAAAATCAATATAGTTCAAAATGTGTTTGTTTGAGGCAATATAAATGTACACGTCAAGATTTTGCCAAGTTTTGTTAAAAAATGTATTCCCATTCCTACCTCTAAACCCGACTCTAACTGTAAATTATTCTCAAAATCAGAAGGCAATATTAGTCGGATAACAATCATGTAGAAGTGCATAAACCTAACCGTAAACCTAAGTTTTACATAAACTGTTAACGTATCCCTTAATTCTAATTGGCTGGCTGGAATGTTGTTCCAGGATCAACAGAGATGTTAATCCAGGAACATGTCCTACTTGGTAAAATCAGGCTGGTGTTACAAACGCGATTTGTCTAGCAATAAACTTTTAACCTCAACGAATGCATGTATACATTTATTTTTAAACAACCATGTCAGAAGATTTATCCCGTAGCCATACTCTGGAAAGACAATGCAAAGATTCATCAGACTTAAACTGTGAAAGAAGGCGCATGATTTGACCACCAGTTGACCTGAACTTTATTGAAAGTAGTTGTGTTGAAGCAGACAGCGGGTGCCTCAGGGTCAGAGAGCGGAGCGGCTCCCTTTATCAATACAAGATCTGACCAAAAATGAAAGAACTCTTGAAAGAAGTCATCTTTGTGACACTGCAAAAAATGACATGATAAAAAGATGCCATAGTTAAAGCTAAAGATGATCCTGTAGATGGACACTATTTGACCCTTGGGAGATCAACTCTTTAAATTCTACTCCAGCACTTCTAATAGATGTTCAGCGGAGATCAGGTCAATTGGTGGTCAATTCATGTATGAAAATGAAGGCTTTTGCCATTTGAATGCAACGAATCTTTGGCATTGTCTTCCTATATACTCATAGGATACCAGCCGTTTATTTATTGGTTATTCAAGAAATAAAAAGTTTTAGATTTTAAAGAATTGTCGCCAAACTAGAAACATGTTAATCACATTGTAGTGAAGATTTGGCCATAGGCTGCATCCCAATTCACCTATGTATACATCATAAAAATATGTACTGTTTTTTGATGAAAAAAGTACATACTTCTGTGTTAATAGATCCTCATTATCCTGTTGCATATGGTAAATCATTTTGTCATCTTCATCTCTTTCATATTTAAAGGATAGATCAACCAAAAATGAAAATTCTGTCATCACTAATCCAACACAGGCTCATTCTGAAAACGTAGCCCCGAGGACGTTTCTGGAGAGCGCAAATTACGTAGCATGAGATCCGTATATCTGTATTTAATTTTTTAAGCAATCGCTATGGGGCGGTATGATGCCATTCCTTTTGGTGGTTACCGACTGACTGCTTACCTCTCTGTGGAGGGCTTTCCCGCCGCAACCAGTTTGTCCAGTTAGCTCGTCGTGTACATTGTCGGACTTGAGACATAGAGAGGAGTTGACCACGACGACGACCGGGTTCGAGTCCGGGGAAGAGCGGGTCCAGAAACCAGGTAAGACAAAAACAGAATCCAAAAAAATAAAACGAACGAGTGAACAACAGAGTGAGAATGTGGTGAAATTCGAAAACGTGGTAAAGGTCAGACAGGGAGTTTTCTTTTTCTGGACAGCTTTTGTAAACGGTCGGCCGGATTCGCAAAAACAAAAACTGAAAAAATACGTACCTCTCGGGACGTCTTTCCACGTCTCCAGAAACGTCTAAGGGACAACGTTTTCAGAATTAGCCTGGGTTGCATTAACCACCCTTTTCTTGTTTCAAACATTTATGAGTTCCTTTATCCTGCTGAACACAATAGAAGATACTTTGAAGAGAGATGGAAACCTGTAAGCATTGACTTCCATAATATTTGTTTCTCCTACAATGGAAGTCAATCGTTACATGTTTTTCCACTTTCTTCAAATACCTTCTCTTTTGAAGAAAGAAACTCATAAATGTTTGGAACAACTTGAAGGTGAGTAAATAGTGAGACGTTTTTCATTTTTGTGTGAACTACCCCTTTAATTTCCTGCCATATTGGAGATGCAGCAGCACATTAATCCATCATTTGTGGGTCTGTCATCAAATCTCCTCGGGTGTTTTCATAATTACGAATTCAGAAGTTAATTTATACTGAAAAATAAATATAACATAAAATATACTGCATATTTAACATTAGGTTGGATATTAATCAACAAAAATCTTTACCAAAGCCTCTTTTTAACTGTTTGGTCCCACATGTCCGCCATGTTTGTAGTTTGTCAACCCATTTTGAGCGTGTTTGTAGTTGTAACCAAGTGCACATACAATTTGCAATGTATTGTGAAAAATATTAGCATTTCTGCTTCCAGAAATAGGCGACCATAAGGATAACTTACTGAAATACTCTTTTCAAACTATGTTTTGGGACATTTTAATTATATTTTCGAATTAGGAATGATAGTTTGCAAATAGCAACGCAGCACTTAAATCTTAATTATTTGCTTACTTTCAAATGAACCATTTATCTTAAATCATCGATTTATAATTTTTTAATTTACTTTGGCTTAATTCAAATACACTATAATTTGGTCTTCACCATTAGCACAACTATAAAAATCTGGATAAATTTTAGTTTTTGTGAAATATTCCTAAAATACATAGTTGCTGGTGTTTCCAGTTGTAACCAGGGAGGAGTGCATGCTCTCCTGCTTGTATCCACTGCTGTGTCAAGGCCCATTTGTGTGCAGGAATGTTAATGACTCCACTTGTTTACATGCGTACAGAAGGATATGTCTACTTTTAGCACTGTTGTCAAAAATCCGGCGAACACAGCCAATGTTTTTAACTCAACTAAGTGCACTCAGATGTACCACAGCACATAATGAAACACAAACAACCTTACGTTATCGCGCTTAAAGCACATAAATAACCCTTAGAGTTCAAGGCCAAAACATCATATATCCGTCAGAATCCTATTCAAACTCACTGTGATGTGAAACTCTTGACATTTCGCATATGTTCCATTTTACTGTAATATTTTCAACAAAAAAACCCATGTGCATATTTATGTAATGCTTTTCTTTCCCACTGGAAAACTGTTGAATCAATCAGCGGCACTTTGGCTCATCGTGCATCCACTTTCTCACAAATCCCAAGGGTTTTTTTTTTTGTGGTCAGGGAAAAAATGACCCCATTCTGTATTTCCTGCTTTTTTTTCTGAAGGGTTCTGATTGGCTCTCCTTTGACCGGACAGCCAGCTAAACGGACTGGAGATGTCTACAGGTGCCGGGTTGGATCAAACAGTGACAGTAAATGTGAAAAATTCCTCTTGTCAGGTAAGAGATATACAGTTTTTATGCTTAGTTTAACTGTGTATCCTTCTGTGTCTACTGTAGAGGAAGGGGTAATAGACATTACCTCAGTTTGCCTAAAAATGTTCCTATTTCCTAAACAAACTCTTTGACCGTCTCAAGGTTGCTTACAGATTTCAGATGGGAAGTATTTTATGCAATACCATGGTACTTCAGTACATGAGTGTTTAAAATGGAGCACAAAATCCTGCAGAAATGAGAATAAGATGCTCAGATCATCTTTCTGCTTCTTCAATTTCCAAAATAGTCCCTTCAGGGAAAGGAAATGGTACTCGCTTCCTCCGCGCATTTGCAGAATTAAACATAAGTAAACATAAAAAAAGTTTATTTTCTTAATGTCTCTTGTTTTGCTGGACATTATTAATCAAATATTTTTAAGGGCGGTATAGTGGCTCAATGGTTGCACTGTCACCTCACAGCAAGAAGGTTGCTGGTTCGAGTCCTGGCTGGGCAAGTTGGCATTTATGTGTGGAGTGCATGTTCTCCCCGTGTTCTTGTGGGTTTTTGGGTTCGTTGTGGGTGCTCTGGGTTCTCCCACAGTCAAAAGACATAGAGAATAGGTGAATTGGATGAACTAAATTGGCTGTATCAGTGTGTGTGAATGAGGGTGTGTATGTGGGGTTCCCCATAATTTAACATTTATTTTGGTCACTGTTGCTGTTTATTAGCATGTTTTAATTAATATACACATTCATATATTATGTAAATGAAATACATAAGCAATTTTAAAAAAAAAATAGCATTTTTAGTAAAGGGACGTACAGTAACTTACATGACAGACCTTATTAATAAAACTTCACGTTCATTTCATTTTCAATTGTTCAATATTAGTGGCACAAACACTTGAATTTGTTTCAAATTAATGAGAAGATGCAGATCAGATAATGTGTATGGTTTTAGCTGAACTACACTACCTGACAAATTCTTCAGCAGGATAGGGCTCCTTCTCAAACTTCAGCCTCCACATCAAAGTTTCTGAAAGCAAAGAAGGTCAAGGTGCTCTAGGATTGGCCAGCCCAGTCACCAGATATGAACAATATTGAGCATATCTGGGGTACGGTGAAGGAGGAGGCTTTCTTTGGCACTGCAGATGGCTTTATTAATAAGTTATTTGAGTCATTGCAGAGATGTATGGATGCAGTCCTCCAAGCTCATTGGAGTCAAACACAATATTAATTCTTTTTCCACTGCAGCATGACTTTATATTCTATACTGTACATTATTTCTGTTAGGTGACAAGGCTTTTGTCTAAGCAAAGTCAGACCTTACTGTCCTAATTAAATAATTAAAAATCAAGGCATGATCATATTGTATTAAAAAAAAGCATAATCTAGAGGCCTTTGCCTTTCATATAAGCCAATTCTGAGACCAAATAATCAACTAAAAGTCAAGTTATTATTTGTTGTTCCTAAAACTTGGATAGGCGATAAGACTTTTGCAGGTAATGTATATTACTGTTGAAAGTTATTACTGCTAAAAAGCAATAATTCTTCAGGTTCAGGTGGTCCGGCATGCAAAAATCATGATTTTCATCCTGATTTACAGTAATTTGTTATGAGGTTTGTTGTTCAAATTATGTGTATTAATTAAGCAATTTTAATTACTTTGTGAGATGAACACTAAAGCTAACAATCCAATTGCAAACTTGATTAAGGTCTTGAAAACACTGATTTAAATAGCAAATTAAAGTGTTTACTATTAGTCAATTAGTAAGAAAAAAAAAAAAAAAACATTAAAACCCCAAACTACTGAACCATACCATATCACATCACATCACATCATCACATAAAAAACTGACTGTGAGTACAATGTTTTGTTGACAGATTAGATAAAAGTACCTTTGTCCTTTTGAACAGATTAAGGTATTACTATTAACCCAAGCCAGAAGTGCATACCCCATATTTAGACGCTCACTTTGAGGAATGGAAGTGAAATTCTGTCCTTCTAATTCAGGAACTAGTGATAATTTAATTTAGGAAGCCTGTATATACAACTATGCAAGTGGTAATGACCTGATTCTTAACACCACCTGTTTTTAGTCAAAGAAAACATTGTAGCTGAAACATCTGTGTAGTTTCCCTTTTCTAGAGGTGTTCTTCTATGAGTAGATTTTGGCCTGAGAGCTCATCCCAACACTGGCCAAGAGACTTTGACCTTCACTTATTATATTTGCATTCGTTTGTTCAGCAGATGCTTTTATCTGGAGCTTTTTACAAATGAGGAAGGATGCAATTCAAGGGATTCAATTCAAGAGTAAAAATATCAGGCTGTTATAGAGACTATGACTTTTTTGGGGGTTAAAATGAACATAATTATATGCTTTGCTTTGACAACAGTTTTTGTCCACATTGTAAATACACTCGTGCCACTGTCATAACTGAATCGGGTTTTCCTCCATGGTGGAGCTCCATTTAGTGGTATTGTACATCTTCATTTTTTCCTCATGTGTGACCTTGATCGGGTTTCAGTAGCATTGCCTCATCCATTATAATATGACTTTATAAATCAGCTCAAGATGTCAAACATGTTTTAATATCCTTTGACTGAATGAAATCACAGTCAAAAGCAAAGACCAGCATAACACCTGTAATTTTCTATGAAATCCTATGGCCTTGGCTTTTGGCAACTAGTGTAAATGCTGAATCATAAACTGGAGATTCACTGTAACCAATTGAATCACCAAACCATTAACCGGAGACTCACTGTGACTGAATCCTTTTGAAACATCGAATCATTAATTGCAGACTAATATCTCTGAATCATTTGAATCAGTGAATTGGTAACTAGAGACTTGCTGTGACCAGATCCTTTAAATCAGTGAATTGTTAACTGGAGACTCACTTTGACCAAACCATTTGAATGAATGAATAAATGAATGAATGAATGAATGAATAAATAAATGAATGAATGAATGAATGAATGAATGAATGAATGAATAAATTTAGTGTATTTACTAACACTTACAGTCTATAAAACAGTATATTTACTGCATATAAATATGAGATGGGACTTAATATTATCATTATCATCAATTTTAACTAAGAAAGCAAATATGATTCATGTTTGTTTAAATATTCACTAAAAGCTCAAGTTTTTATTGGCTATATGGTGTCTGTTTGTTTGTAAAACTCATTGCCTGTAGGAATAATCCTGTTTCTGTGTTGTGTTTGCATGTTCATTTCTGCCGAGTGTCTGACTCTCAGAAGAGGCCTAGACAGGAGGTGACCCAAAAACATTTTAATACAGTATCTAATCTACGCATAATTACATAATCCTTCATCAGATAACTCAGTGTTGCATGCCGTTTTTTATTACTTCTACCTTAATATGAGTCGCTTGCAAAAGGAATTCTGATGTCAAGACAGATAGAGCTAAAACAACAGTCTTTTCACTTTCTTTAATTAAACATTTTTAACATGTTAATCTAACATAGGGCCTTTACATGAGACTAGTTACAATTGAAAAACAAACACTTTCTACAGTATGCAGTTTGTTTTGTTTTTTAGGGCATACATTTTTTTACTTTTAAAATAAACTCAGAGTAAACAACAAAAACATGATTTTGTGAAAGCGAAAATATATGAGTTCTGTAAGAAAAGTGTTATATCCACACAAAATAAATTTTGAAGAATGTTGGAAATTAGTGGACACTGACTTCCATAGTATTTGTTTCAACCCAGTCTCATTCTGAAAACGTACCCCTATATAAATTTCTGGAGAGCTCCAAATACATCCCATCAGCTATGTTTTTTTCAGTTTGTTTTCGTGAATCCACCAGAGGCCGCTGTCGACTGACTGACTGACTGATCAACTTACACCCCTTTCACCTTCCCTAAGCTCAACTGATAGTGTTTTCAAAAGCAATTTGTGTCTCAAATTTCTCTTGCAAGTGCCATTCATGGTTGCTGTTTTCATGTAAATCAGTCCAACTGTTTTTAAAAGCAATCGAGAAAAAATCCAGATTTATTTACTTGTTTATTTGACTTTTTGTGTGTGTTCCTTGTGCTAAATGTCCCCACAAGTATAGTAATAGCAGTCATTTTTGACATTGTGGAGACATTTTTATCATCACCTTGAAGAAAACGGCTCATAAACCACACAGAAGGAAGTATTTTGAAAATGTAAAAATGTGAATTGTTTCCAGTAAGGGTTGGTTTTAGGAGTATAAAGATAAAATATACAGCATAAAAAAATCACAACATAAACTCGTTCTGAAAACATAGCCCTATATACAGTTCTGGAGATCGTAAATTATGTTGCCAGAGCTACATGGCTTCACTGCATCTTTAAAACAAACGCTATGTTGCTTACCAGCTGACCGATTACCTCCGTATGGACGGCTTCTGTGCCTTTTAAAATGCTATTTGTTAGGTTTAGGGGAGGGGAGGGGGGGGGGGGGGGGGGGGGGCATCGGTCGATTGGTCAGTCAGTCGAGAGCGGCCTCTGGTGGATTTATGTGAGAACAGCAGGCATGAATGGCACTCGCGAGAGAAATTTGAGATCTGAAAAAAACGTAGCTCCTGGGACGTATTTTGCTCTCACCAGAAATCTATATAGGGGTACATAATCAGAATGAGCCTGGGTTGAAAAAATTATTATGTCTCTTCAGGAAGTCCCCATGAAGTTGCATGAAGTATGTGTGTTTTTGTTTGCATGTTTTTGTGTCTGTGTGTGAAGCAGAACAGACAAAATACACAGCAATAATATGTTTTTTCACTATAAAAACCTCGCATAAGGGATCCCAGCAGTGCCTTTTGTTTTATCCAAGGCAAACAGAAGGCCAAGGTCAAGGGTCTGTGTGTATAAAAAGCATTCAGGAAAATTCAGGGGAGATTTGTTTAGATATTCTTTTCATAGGATTTTCACTGTGCGTGCACATTTGTCTATTTGTCTTGCAGAAAACACAACAATCCCAAACATAAACGAAGTCAAGGAAAACATGACTATGGGGACGACGCTGGTGGTGAACCCAGACGGCAATGGCTTTTTGGTAGGGAACATCTGCGGATGGGTTATTCTACTGTTTCTTCAGCCACTGTTAAATAATAGTGTCTGATCAGAGTTTTGAAGTCATTAAATAATAAAATAAACAATAAGTGGAAGAAAATGGATGGATGGATAAAAAAAAGCTTCATGGAAATACTCAGATTTCCAGTTTATGTTTATACTTACAGGACAGCCTCGATATGTTGCCACTAGGTCTGCGTCTGGTTTTTTTTTATGATTGAACATATTATCAGAAACATGTCTTTGCAATTTGTGTATCACTGATTTTCCAGTCAAACAACTGAAAAGAAATGTAAAATTTAGACCCAAACCTAGTGGGATGAAACTGAAAATGGAAAAAAAAATGAAAAATTAGGAATTCAAGTAGGATCTTCCAGTTTGACCCCATTAGAATAGGATCCAGACTATAATAAAAATTCCAGCAGCATGCTTTTAAGATTTGTTGACAATGTATAAAACAAGCATAATCCGATTTTATAAAGATGTAATAGATTAGTTTTTTCCGCAAATTTTGTATAAGGGAAAGTATATTTTGGTACGTTTTATCACCTTTTTTATTTGACTAGTTTATTTGACTGGTCCTACAAGTACAAATATTCAATGCAATCAGTTTAATAGAAGGTAATGAAAACAGTATGGCATTCAGCAAGTCACACCAAAACATTCCCATGTATTTTTAAGCTTTTTTGACAGATTGTTTCCAACGGTTCCCATATGCAGCTTCAATTTCCCATATGCTGCAATGACTGTGAATGACTGAAACGGAAATAGTTTCACATAAACATTACAAATTAAATAATTAGCTGTGGGAGGTAAAGCTTTTACATTAAAACCAGTCACTTAACAAGACTGTGTGCCTGTATGTGGGTCAAAGACAAGATGGCCCAAAGTCTTTGACTTCAGTTGGAGAAAGCATTCCATCACATTGTTGGAGTTCTCAGGAAAAGCACTGACACTATGCCAGAGAGATTTGCTGGTAATTTCCACATAATGTGCACATTATACTAAATATAAAAGTATAATTTAAAATTGATAATTTACAGCATCTGATATTTTCTGTGCTCAGAGCAACCATCTGCATGTTTCATCAGCATTATGACATGAAATCATGTTTTGGAGGCAATTACACAGTAAAACCCAAAAAGTTAATGTAACTCAAAACCATTTGAGTTAAAAAAAAATCTATATGAGAGTACTGGGAACTTACTTCAATTAAGTTAAGGTAATGAGGTATTTAATTAACTCATTACTTTCAACACTGAGTTCAAAACTCTTTTCAAATGAGAAGAATTAACTTTCAGTACATTTTGAGTTAACTACACTCATTTCATTTGATAAAGTTGACTGTTGGGTTTTACAGTGTACACTGAAAAATTGATTAGTTACTTAAAGCGAGTAAACCAATTGCCTTAAAAGCAAACAAGTTGACTTTACAAAAACTTAACTTAACTGGAACTTAAATTTTAAATTGTACTTACTTTTTTAAATAAAAGTAAACTAATCACTTTTTTTTCAATACACCTGTATTATATTTGTTTATTTTCCCCCAGCTTTTCTTTATCTAGAAAAATGGCATCCAGAAAAATAAATCTGCTCTTCCAGAACCCAGTGTGTCCTCTTAATTCAATGCAGGCTATAATTGTTTATTTTATAGACTTAATGAAGCACTATATATGCAATATCGTAAAAATTACAGTAATTATTTGAAAACAGATGTGCTAAATAGTCTGACGTTGTAAAAAAGGATTAGTTGACTTTAAAATTAGAAATTAGAATTTGCATATTTTTAGAAAATTAGATCAACTGTTTTTGGGTTGACTCACGTGATTTTTGTAAAGGCAACTTGTTGCTTTTAAGCCTGGTGTTCTAATATTTTGGCCATCAACATAGCCTACAAATTTAACCACAAATGCTAAAATATGTGTGAAATAATGTTCTGTGTCATTAAGCCTAACAAACATTCTATAAACATAAAATATTTTGGTAACACTTTAGTTTAGCTCACAATTAACAGCATTAGCAAACCATTAACTAATACTCAGAGCTTAATAAATTACCAAATAGCTGTTTATTAATAGTTAATAAGTTAGAAGTTGGGTTTAGGTTTAGGCTAGGGTTAGGGATGCTGAATAAGATCATACTTTATAACCACTAATGAAAAGTGAATAACTTAATAACAAGAAGGTAAGAAGCCAGTAGTTAATAGTGTGAATTGTGGCCTAAACTAAAATGTTACCAAAGTGGTTACACTTTACAATAACAGTACATGAATAATGATGTGTTAAGCATTACTTTATTATTAACTATTGATGAGTTAATGTGTGCGCTAATCATGAACTAACTTTTACTACAACATGAGTCACATGAGTTTATGTGTGAATAACAGCTACCTTAAAAGGCCATGAAACCCTCCCTGTCTTAGCATGGTGTTTTCAGACCTCTAGTTTGAAAAAAAGTCAGGAAAGTGGATGAGTCCAGCTTTGTTTAGGTGGGAGTGTCAAGTGGCGAAAGAGGGAAGGGTTTGCATGAAAAGGGGAGTTTCATTAAGTGAACTACAGCTGATTTTCGCACCAGCAATACAGACACAGATGCAGAGATAGACAGTGACTACATTTCCATGGACATCAGTAATAAAATGAAGTACTTGCCTTAATGTGAATAAGACAATAATATGATTGAAGTGTTTACATCAGTTGCGTTTTGAATGTTCCTTTCATGATCTTGTTTTACATGTTATTGCCAACACATTTAGTGGCTAATTCGTATGAATTCGTACGATCTAATTCGTACAATTTAGTGCGATTTGCTCATCCCCCAATGACGGTTGGGTTTAGGGGTGGGGTCAGGTGCCACGCCTCCTTTTTAAAATCGTACCATTTCGTACGACTGAACTCGTACAAATTCGTACGAATTAGCCACTAAACTGGCAAAACGTAAAATACTTACGTTTTCTCATGAGATCAGGCTGATTATTGCACATAATTTGACATTATCACTATCCACATTTCCTCTGGAGTTTCATGTAATTCCAGGTGTTTCATTCTTAATTTTTTGACTTTAACTGCAGTTTGGCACTTTAACTCTTATTTAGGAACATTTAATGCATGCCCCATGACAAACAAGATATTGGATGTGAGTAACTGCTGGAAAAGTGTTGCTTTAATGAAATTTTGATACCGCACAGTGAATGGGAGAAAAAATTCTTGGTAGAAACACAGCCGAGAGTGTACAGACTGTCCTGTCACTAAATGTAGCAAAAATCCTACACGATGGTAATAGTTTGATTAAGATGTTTACATGTTTACATTCGGAGGGCAGCATTTACAGTGGATTTTTCAGCCCATAATATTGTAGAGATATTAACGTACTTTAATCATAGTAATCAAACGAAATCATTTTGACCAAGGTGTCTTTAAAAACTGAAAGAGTACTGCTGACGATACTAACTGACTTTGCCATCTGAATGAACATAAACAAAGCACATTGATCACACCATTTCCAAATCCGTAGAGACAGGACAATCAATACGAACTGGAGCCGCGTCTTTCTGAAAAAGGAAAGAAGTGGCAAATTCGGATTTCATCATTTCCAGATGCAAAAAGCTCTTGGGTAAAAAATGTTCCTTACAAACATATTTTTGTCGCATGTTAGCAGACCACTGTAATCCACACATGTGAGTCCAACTGCGCTCTCATAGTGGAGAAATGAAAACAAAACCTAAGTTGCGGCACCTTTATAAACACAACACTGACAACCAATGTCTTCAAACAATTCTTCTTCTTCCACTTTAAATAACTGTCTAATAAACCGGTAATTAACCGCACACAATAACCATATACGGTTGGCAACACAATGTGGAGTCTCTCTGAACTCTGTAACAGGTATCATGATAGCTTTCTTCGAAGCTATCATTTATATTAATGAAGTTGCACCTCATTCACAATAGAGCGTGCTGATTGGTTCGATCTTTAAGTCTTTCTCATGAATTAATGCTGAAAGCTCGAAAGACGTCACATTGTACTTGCCAGTACAGATATCCAGTCTCCATGCTGGAATTTACAAAAGGATCTCATGGCCAAGTCGCAGCTTCAAAATTTCCTTTTCGAACCGGATGAATGAATGAATTTGCTCGAAATAACGCAAAAACACTTCACTTTTATGTGAAGTAAATGTCTTAATAGTGTTTTTTTAGCAGTGTGGGCCTGTCAACATTGTTGGTACATTATTGTTTGTTAATTAATGTATTATGTATTACATTAGTTTATGCTTAATTTAACAATTACGAACTCGTGAGCTGTTAATGTATAATTATATCATGTCTACATGGAGGGGCACATCATCATTAACACATTCTTATTATAATTAATAACATGTACTTACAAGTTAATAAGGTAGTCTTTATTCACATATGAACTGTTGTGACTCGTTGTAGTTAAAGTTAGTTCATGATTAGTGCATGCCTTAACTCATTAATTCATAACAAAGTAATGTTTAGTTTACATGTTAACACATCATTATTCATGTATTGTTTTTTGTAAAGTGTTACTAAAAAGTGTTGCAATGAAATGAAGAATGAAACACATTCTTACATATACAAATTTAGGAAAAGTCAGGGTTGGCTACCATAGTTATTATGGATAATATATTAACAGAGTTATTAAATTACAAAATTATAAAAGCGAATAATGACTGCCTCTGTAGTTCTAGTGATAAAATGTCTTTCTGACAAATGAGAACACCTAGTGGTTAGCAAAATATAAAGATTTCAATTGACAATTATTTGGTATTTTAGGGCTGCACTAAATTCTTATGAAGTATTTTTGCTGCATTTATGCCTGCTAAGATATTTAGCTATGTAAACTAAATGACACGTTTTCTGCAAATCAATATAAAATACGACAGTCATTACTTGTTCAGAAAAAAAACTAATGTATAAATTTATTTAATGCTTGAATGCACAGTACAGTCTCTCTGTGTGTTTCCCTCTGGACAGGCGTGTGGCCCTCAGTATGGCTACATGTGTGGAAAGCAGCAGTACATCACTGGCATCTGCTCTAATGTCAGCTCCTCATTTAAAGTCCTCAACTCCATCGCTCCAACTGTACGAGGTATGACACACACACGTGTTGTGAGTGTACATTAGCGCATTCCAGCCGAGTAAACCACTGCCGGTCCCCTCCTGCCCTGCATGGCCATGTTAGGACAGTGTTTAGGAAAACTGACATCTACCAATGCAACATGGAGCCAGTGACTCAACATAAACACAGACACACACATTCATACTGTAGGAAATATAATAGCTGCAAGACACATCTGCTCATCTCTAGCAGAGGGGAGATTGTTGCTTCATTTCATTTGAATTCTGGTGAAAATCTAATTTAAAGGCTAAGTATGATTCTGAAGGGGAACTAGCTCTGTTGAGCATTTATGTGGTACATTTTTATGACAACAATGGGCTTAAAATGTAAATGATCTCCTCTCCCATTTTTAAATGTATTCATGTACAGACAGCGATGCTGTGATAACAAAAGAGGCATGTTAACAAGACGCTAATTCATGCTAGCAACAAGCTATTTCTTGCTTACAACATATTACATATACTAGAAACGACAAAGCATCATGTTAATTTAGGTTAGCAATGTGATAATTCATGAGACCTTAAAGAAACATGTTTAGCATGCTAGCAACATCACAATCCACGTTAGCAGTGTAATAAAACACTCTAGCATCTTTAAAACCATGAGCGTGAACAGAACATAATGTGTTAATTCTGTATTTAAAACATTGAATTATTAACATATGTAACCTATTACTTCACATTAACAAGCTAACTGATGGAATGTTTGTGCTAAACATGTTAATAACATGTGTAATGTGATATACGTTAACAACATGTAAAAAACAATTGATGCTAGCAATCATGTGCTTTCTTATGTCAGGCAGAATGTCAAAAATGCTGAAAACATGATCATTTATGTTAGCAAGGTTATAAAGGTTATAATATTAGGTTATAAACATTGCAGCTAATTCATCCTAGACATAATGTATTTAAGACAGAGTTATAGCATGTTGACATATTAGTTAATTCAGTGACATGCTAAACATTATTATTAGTAGCCTAAATGTTGAAAAATATTAAAAACAGCACAATGCACCCTAACAATAACAACATGAAAACTGAATGCTAAAACATGCTAACAATGCTCTATATGCGATGTTAGCAATGTGTTAAAATCCTCTGTCAATATCCTTAAACATGTTAGCATTAGGCCACTTATTATTAACATGCTTAAACCTAGTTAGGCTACATGCCAGCAACATGCTACGACATTCTTAGAATTGGAATAATGTGTGCTTACAAGAGCTTGTTAATGCAACAACTATCATCCTAGAAAGCATATTAGCAACAGGCTAAAACAATACATAAACGATTTTTCCCTTTTCAGGCTTTCTCAAGCCAAAATCAATTGTCTACAAACTTCATGTAGATTTTAATTGAAATTATTGTCATGTAAACATTTCCTTAGCAATTTATATTTATGAAATATAAACACATGTACAAACAATATTTAGTCTTAAAGTTTCCATGATTTTAAAGCATATTCTCTCTCATATGCAAAACTGGAAAAATTGCATATGAATCAGAGTTAATCATTGTTTTCTGTCACAGCGAAGCCAGTGTCACCTCCAATTACATGGCTCAGTGTTTCATAACTGTTTTATGTAAGCATTCACAGTTCCACTGAGCTGTTAAATGTATTTCCTATGTAAATCTCGGAGTGGCTGCTGGCATTCAGATGCCTTTAAGGAATTGGAACCAAAGCAGTTTAATGTTTATTTCTCTTTCTCACTAGTATAATTATAATGAAGGTGCTCATTATGGCTGTTTGCTTGTTTCAGAGTGCAGTCAGGACATGGACATTGTCATAGTGCTGGATGGTTCTAACAGCATCTACCCCTGGGATCACATCACAGATTTTTTGGTCAAATTCCTCCAGAACATTGAAATCGGACCAGCCCGGGTGAGATGTTTGGGATTTTATAGAACAACCATGGAGATTTGTCTCAAAACACAGTAAAAATGACATGTGTTGAAAATAAAATAGAGTTAAATATGCACTTACTGCGTCATTAAATAGTTTGAGCAGGCCGATTTTATTTTCAAGGCATCTAAAATGGGTGGTTCACCAAAACACTAAAGGATTTTGTCATTGCTTACACATCATCACAATGTTTTTAAATCAGTTAAACTTTCACAGTTTTGATTAATTATTAAACATTAATTATTATTCATATTTTAAAATAATAATAATAATAATCATCATCATCATCATCATAATAATCATCATAATAATCATAATAATATAATTATTAATAGTTTGAAATAAAGACTACATACATTTTTATTTAGTTATTATTTACATCTTTTTATTTTTCTACTTTTTTGAATCTCTAATTATACATAAATTCAAAGAACAAATAATAATTTATTTTATTAAATTTAAATATTATAATTTATTAACATAATAAGCTATATTTTAAAAAAACTTGTGGTATTTTTATGTGATTCAGTGTGTATTCTACTTATATAAACTATATTAATAAAAAATTAAAGTGATGTGTTAAGTCAAAGCTGTGTGTGCAGTTAGTCGCACAGAAGTGGAACTGTCATCAGCTTAAACCAACATCATTACATGAGCATTACATAAAAACTTTCCATGGAGAAGCTACTGGGTGGTTAAATTCAACGGAAATAAAGGCTTTCTTAAGGGCACTGCTGGAAAATACAGCCCAGAGCATAGAGCCAGGGGGAGAACATATTTTCCATGGTTAAATAAATGATCACAGAGGATTTTCTGAGGGAATGACACCACATTTGAGTCAGCACAGACACAGAGACATTTAGCAGAGTCTGGGACAAAAACTGTCCATGTTTGGTACAGTATATGTGATTTGTATCTGGCTTTCTGCTTCCCTAGGTGGGCATTGTGTCGTATGGTGATGATGTGGGCCACGTTTTCAACCTCAGCCAGTTCAGCAACACTAAAGAACTTGTTGAGAATGCTGCCAAGATCACTCAAAGGACTGGCCACAAAACCATGACAGCTCTCGGCATTGATACCGCAAGGTGCTGCACTTACAGTTCACTTACACAGAGTTTACAATATATACGAATTTAAGTATTTGTGTGAGTTAATTACATACAAAGTCCATGCAAACACACAAATAGAGGATAATTTCTACTGGGTGGAGTCAATCACATAAAATGTGTAACTTGTCTCTTATCAAGTCTTTCTCGCAAGTTTAAAAAATTGACCCAGGCAGGAAAAATCTAATGAATAAACTAGAGCATGTCACGCAATATGCATGTGTTCTCCCCAAATTTTAGCATTACAGGGTGTCTATAGTTAAAATGTGACTGAAAATTTTATTTTTAATGTGGAAGTTAAAAATGTAAAACATACAGCAACTTTTATAGTAAATAAAGTATTGCACTGTATATAAATAAGGCATACAATAACGGTTGTAGCGGTTACTGGATGACATGATCACAAGCAAAAGTGCAACTACAGGTTTTCACAATGAAGTCGGGCTCATAATATAGGAGTTTTTGCAACCCAAGCTCATTCTGGAAACGTAGCCCTGCGGACGTTTCTGGAGACCGCGATTTACGTGGCCGGAGGTACGTAAAGGCTGCGTTTGTTTTTTTTCGAGCGAACGCTGCGGGGCGGTGTGGCGCCGCTCCGCCCCTCCTCTTCGCGCTCGCCGGCCAACGGCTTGCCTCCGAGTGGAGGGCTTTCCCGATGCAATCAGTTTGTCCGCTTAGCTCACAGCGTTGCGGAGGCCCCGGAGGAGGAGCCGGAGCCGGCCACGGTGGACGACGACCGGGATCGAGTCCGGGGAACAGCAGGTTCCAGAAATCAGGTAAGACGAAAAACGGAATCCGAAAACGTGGTCGAAATCGAAGACAAGGGCTTTTGCTTTTTTTTTCCGATCCGGCGGAGAACGGCGCACGCTCCCGAGAGGCGCCCGAGACGCGAAAAAGCACGCACAGCGGCCTCTCGCGGATCCGCGAAAACAAAAAACGCTCGAATACGTACCTCCCGGGACGTAAATCGCGGTCCGCAGAAACGTCCGCGGGGCTACGTTTCCACAATGAGCCCGGGTTGAGTTTTTAGCAGAGTTATTTTCCCAGATTGTGGTGAGGTATAATTTTAGAAAAAATGCCTTAAATTCCTATAGTTTTCAGATAGTTGCCATGTTTAAAAAAGCAAGCATTAAGTGCTTTATCAAACTGCAGCTGCTCTAAAAACAAGTGACAATCTCATTGAAAACATATAAAAATATATGATTGCGTTGGGAAAAATAGGACATGTATCCCAAAGATGATGTATCTTAAAGTTATAATAATAGCCATATTAACGTCCACATCAACGTACAATATATCATTTAGCTTATTCTAGTAAATTTGGTTTATTCTAGTTATTATGGGTGCTTTAAATGATTGAGCATGGTAAAGTTTTTTTCACTTGTGATCTCAAGCTTTTAAGATGATTATAAAACCTTCTAATTACAACCAATGTTTACATTTAAAGGGATAGTTTCGAAACCAATTGTTGTTCATTTACCTACCCCAAGACCACTGTCTTTCATTCAAACATTAAAGAAGCTTTTTTGCTGAGGCCTCATTTACACTAATACGTTTTAGTTTTAAAATGGGGTTTTAAAATGAAAACAATCCGCATCCACACTAGCGTTTTACCCAGAATTTCTGAACAGCAGATGTGGGAGTAAGTCACGCATGTGCAAGTCACAATTTAGTCTCAAGTCATAACCTTCAAGTCTCAAACAAGTCAAGTCAATTTTTGTCAGACTCAAGTCAAGTCAAGTCACTGCACATTTCAAGTCACGTCAAGTCGTAGCTTGGACAAGCAAGTCACTTTCAAGTCAATCTAATTATATATATATTTATTTTATATATATATATATATATATATATATATATATATATATATATATATATATATATATATATATATATTATTATTATTATTATTATTATTATTTTATTTATTTTTTTGATATTTTGACAAGTGATGTTTAACTGAGCAAGGACATTTTCACAGTATGTCTGATAATATTTTTTTCTTCTAGAGAAAGTCTTATTTGTTTTATTTCGGCTAAAATAAAAGCAATTTAAAATTTTTGAAAAAACAATTTTGGGACAAAATTATTAGCCTCTATATAGTATATAAACTGTCATTTGAAATGACACTTTCATCACTTGTGAATCAGATGGCTTTCTGCTCAGGGGAATGTGTGTGCTTACTTCAAGACCATTAAAATATTATACTATTAATTAAACGAGACCCTAAATGACAAAACCAATCTTAAAATGCACAGGTAAGATTTTTTGGGGGAAAATTATTGAATTAAAATTATAATTTTTCTTTTATTACAAAAAATATTATTACATTAAAAGTAAAGATCATCTTTCTTGAGGACATTTTGTACATTTCAATAACTCCAATAAACATGTTTTCATTAGTAATATGAATAATTGCTTTCTTGTTTTACCTAGCTTAATTCTTCATTTTCCCCTGATAAATTGTTTTTAAAAAGATGCATGCGAGTAAAAAAAAACTGGAATATAGCATTTAACAGATTATTTTAATGCAATCTTTTTTGAATAAACTTAACCCCTAACATGTCAAATAGCATACAAATACAATACTATCAGTGCTTCTCACAGGTTTGAAATATACTTGTGGTGGTAGCTGAAAGTAGTCTGAAACACAGCATTTACCCACAATACATAAATAGTTAACTATATGTGACAAACAAGACATGTTATTTTTTTTTTTTTTACAATAATTTCATTTATTTTGACAATGGTATACACTGTTTACTTTCAATGGGTTAAAGTAAAAAAAAACTGTTGAAAAAGACATCCACTATCTCTTACCAATTCAGGAGCCATGTGCACCGCTGACAGGTCAAATCTGCTTCTCTCTCTCTTTCAAGTTCAAAGCAAACTTGAATGCAAAAGCATATGTATATAAAATAGCATATTTAATAGCCTAATGACGTCATCAAATTAATAAAATATACAGCAAGTGAGAAATAAATGACAGAAAAAGGAATAAAAACAGAATATCTCTTAAAACATTCATAAATAATCATATTTACAAGATTAAAACGTGTAAATTTAAAGAGGGAAAATGCGTTGATTACTAATGGTGTAGGTATATTTTGCAGCCAGTTAAGACCAGTCATTTTGTCCTCTCAAAGTATACAGTAAGTTTTTCTGAGTCGTTTAGATTCAAGAATGAATTATTGAATGTTTCTCTCGCACATGTGCGAGTAGTCAGCTGCAAAGCAAAGCGAAGTATTCTTAAATAAAAAAAAATTGCAAAAACGCATACAATTAACTGACATCTTTAGAAAGCAATACTCAAATTCTGCACATTTTAGGACATTTAAAAATCTAGCCGGACAAAAAGGCATGTCTTTGTATGTCAGCAGTGTGGGGTGCTGACAGTTCACGGGCACTTAGAACGAAACGAGTAACAAAAAGAGGATTTTCCACTACATCGATTGCGGATGTTTGGTTAAGTTAGGCGGATACAAAACAGTGTAGAAGAATGATAATAACTGTAAAAAACTGTGCCCGCCCAAGTAAAGAATAGTATGAGTAAGACTAAATAGTATGGACTTTAAGTAGCCGTCTGGTTTGTAATCTTTAATCCCATAAATATTTGGCGGAGCGCCTTGCATTTTTCATCACTGCATTATCTGATGGCCGAATAGCAAATGAATTGTTCGAATAAATCGTTCAAATGAATCCAATGAATCATTTAAAGCAGTTTTTCTAAACCAAATGATCCAGTCCAGATTAATACTGCGCATATGTGACTTAGAGCTTTCGGTTTTGTTTTAAAAATACATAATATATAACAAACGGTTGTGTATTCAACAAAACCAGTTATTTCAAGTCACTTAACTCAAGTCCAAGTCAAGTCTCAAGTCATGACAGCCAAGTCCAAGCCAAGTCGAGTCTTTTTTGGATATTTGTCAAGCAAGTCTCAAGTCCTAAATTTTGTGACTTAAGTCACATGACTTAACTCGAGTCCCCAATCTCTGCTGAACAGCTCTTTGCTACGTAACCGTAGCAAAACCTGTTTTAAAACTAAAACATTTTAGTGTAAACAGAGTCTAAACGTGTGGTTTTGATGATTGATAAAATGATAGTCAACAACTCTTACTTAGATAAAAAAATAAAAATATTTAGCACACTACATACTACTGTGAACTCGATCAGAACTGTTTTTTTTAAGGCTTAAAGGTAATAATAATGTTCAGTTTCTTTCGTCTAAGTATCTTTAGGAAACTGTTTACTTGCCTGTGTGTGATTTTGACTCTCAAAAGTACAAGTAGCTGCTAACTTGCATTTTATGAATCAACAAGCACCATGATTTCAGTTTATAAAATGGTCTATTTCAGAAAATAAAAACTCCCTGGAGGTGAATAAATTAAACCTAGATTTGGGTGAACTGTCACATAGGAAGTCATTTTAAAAGTTCAGTAACCTGATGTTGATTGTTTTCCAAAGGAAAGAGGCCTTTACAGTGGAGAGAGGAGCGAGACCAGGGGTCAAAAAAGTCATGGTGATCGTCACAGACGGAGAGTCACATGATCACCACAATCTGAAGAGTGTCATTGATCAGTGTCAAGAAGATGGCATCGAGAGGTTTGCTGTTGCTGTATGTACTGTATATTTATCATTCAAGCAAATAATACATTGTAGCCCCTGCTGAAAAATCCAGATTTAACCAGGCTAGGCTGGTTGGCTGGTTTTAGCTGGTTGACCAGCCTGGTTTAAGAGGGGTTTTGGCCATTTCCAGGCTAGTTTCCAGCCATTTCCAGCCTAGTCTTAGCTGGTCAGGCTGGAAAAGGACCAGCCAAATCCAACTAAAACCAGCTTGACTAGCCTGGTTTAAGCTGGATATAGCTGGTTTTGGCTGGACTCCCAGCTTGGCTAGGCTGGTCAAGCTGGTTTTAGCTGGTCATCTCCCAGCCTGACCAGCTAAGACCAGGCTGGAAATGGCTGGAAACCAGCCTGGAAGAGGCCAAAACTCCTCTAAAACCAGCCTGGTCAACCAGCTAAAACCAGCCAACCAGCCTAGGCTAGTTTAAGCTGGATTTTCAGCAGGGAGATCATGGTTTAAGGTTATTGTGACTTTAATATGGCACATCATTTGTCCTTTGCAGGTCCTTGGTGATTATAATCGACAGAATAAAAGCATTGACGAAATAAAGAAGTTTATAGAAGAAATTGAATATATCGCTAGCGAGACTAAAAGTGATCATTTCTTCAATGTGTCGGATGAACGAGCTTTAGTGACTATTGTCGATACCCTGGGAAGCAAGATCTTTGCTTTAGAAGGTAAGGTACTGTACATGATACATACAAATGTCTTCATTTACAACATACAGTTGAACAGAAAATGTTTACATGTGTTAAACAAACTAATGTAGTAATGCTAGCAGCGTTGAAAATGCGAGAAGCATGCTAGCAGTGTTGATAACTAACCTAGAAACATATTAGCAGTATGCTTAAATGCTAGCAGTGCAGCAAATCATGGTATAAATGAGATGCATGCTATAACTTCTTAATCAATTCTCAAATCATCTAGCAATATGCTGAAACAGGCAAGCGGTGGGGCTAAATCATGATTGAAATAATGTGATACACATCAAAAGTGTGGTAAATCATGTTAGAAACATGCTAGCATTGTTCTAAACTTAAAGATTTTACACCTGTTTTAAACACTGGGCTTTTTAATCTAGTTTTAGACTAACTATTGTATATCTATAGATACTTTTTGTTAATGTGATTGTCTGCATGAATTTTAAAGTGTCAAATTTTGTTGTAACCACAACCTTCCTCCTCAAATCAGTGTCAAAGCTGACTGAAAAACCTTTATCTAACAGCCACATCTGGGAAGCACACCTCATCTTTTGAGATGGAAATGTCTCAGGCAGGATTCAGTGCTCACACGTCTAAAGTAAGTTGAATATGAGAATCTGATTCTGTCTGATTGTACCCCACCCCTGTTCTGTGTTTCACAATGACATCCTGCTGTTACTGCAGAGGAAACATGCAAACCGTTCAGTGTTTAGATATGCATCAGAGAAGGAAGTTTTCTCTAAGTGCGTCTCCAAAATGTGTCACATGGTTTCTCAGTTTTACCAAGTCTGTATCCAAAAATCATCCTCTGTACCCTCAATCACCATCCCCTACATTAGTCCACTAATACAGTTCACTTAAAGGAGTGAATGAAAACGAGTAAGTGTTTTGCTAGTTGATCAATAATAATAGTTTTTTAAACCTTGTGATACAGTACCAGTTAGCGAGCTGTGTATTAGTAATGAAAGGAAGTTTTTGAATCATATTTATGTATACAAACATTACTTTAATTAAATAATTATTTATTTACAAACTTAACCAATAGGATTCCTCTGTGAATGCCATCTTGTGGTCTGTTACAGAAATTCATTTGGAGTTCAGACTCTTACAGTGCATTATGAGTATTTCCTAACAGTTAAGCGTCCAGTATGGTTTCGGACGTCACAACAAATGGCTGCAATATAGTGCAGTATTTAAGGGTATAGGGGACAATTTCAGATACAGTCCAAGTCTTCATTCAGTAACACAATACCCAAAGTAATTATAGAGTGCATAGCTAAAACCTAGTAGGTATGGCATTTAAGTTAAATACTGAATGATAAAGATTATGTATTTTCTGTAAAAATACAAACACTCACTGGTCCCTTTATTAGGTACACCTGTCCAACTGCTCATTAAAGCTAATTTCTAATCTTCCAATCACTTGGCAGCAACTCAATGCATTTAGGGATGTAGACATGGTCAAGATGATCTGCAGCAGATCAAACCCAGCTTCAGAATGGGGAAGAAAAGTGATTTAAGTGACTTTGAACGTGGCATGGTTGTTGGTCTGAGTATTTCAGAAACTGCTGGTCTACTGGGATTTTCAAGCACAACCATCTCTAGGGTTTACAGAGAATGGTCCAAAACAGAAAAAAATATTCAGTGAGTGGCAGTTTTGTGGGCGTAAATGCCTTGTTGAGCAAAGGAGAATGGCCAGACTGGTTCCATCTGATAGAAAGTCAAAAGGAACTCAAGTAAGCACTCGGTACAACCGAAGTATGCAGAAGAGCATCTCTGAACGCATAATACGTAACATTAAGGCTACAATTTACACAGGCTCACCAAAATTGGACAATAAAAGATTAGAAAACGTTGCCTGGTCTGACGAGTCTTGATTTCTTCTGCGACATTCGGACGGTAGGGTCAGAATTTAGCATTAACATCATGAAAGCATGGAGCCATTCTGTCTTGGATCCACGGTTCAGGCTAGTGCTGGTGGTGTAATGGTGTGGGGGATATTTTCTTGGCACACTTTGGGCCCATTAGTACCAATTGAGCTTTGTCTCAACACCACAGCCCACCTGAGTCTTGTTGCTGACCATGTCCATCCCTTTATGACCACAGTGGACCCATCTTCTGATGGCTACTTCCAGCAGGAGAACGCACCATGTCATAAAGCGTGAATCATCTCAGACTGCTTTCTTGAACATGAAAATGAGTTCACTGTCCTCACTGTACACCACAATCACCAGAACTCAATCCAATAGAGTACCTTTGGAATGTGGTGGAACGGTAGATTCCCATCATGGATTTGACAAATTGGCAGCAGCTGTGTGATGCTATCATGTCAATATGGACCAAAATCTCTGAGATATATTTCTAGTACCTTGTTGAATTTATGCCACAAAGGATTAAGGCAGTTCTAAAGGCAAAATTGGGTTCAAACCGGTACTAGTAAGGTGTACCTAATAAAGTGGCCGGTGAGTGTAAAATGGAAGTGGATGTGCCAAAATGTTGAAGCTTAATTTAAATTTAAAGCATTAATGCAAATCTTATAGTGTTATGTGCTTAAAATAATGCATCAGGTGAAACCTTTAAACTGTCAAGTTGTTTCAAATGTATTCTTTACAGTCTTTAAATTGTTTAGATCCCTGTTGTGAGCGTAAACAAATTATAAAATTGGATAGCAAATTATTAGTTAACGTTTGTCTTTCTTTTAGGCTGGTGTCATGTTGGGAGCTGTAGGTGCTTTCGACTGGAACGGGACCGTAGTGATGCAAGCTGGGAACGAGTTTGTTGTTCCCAAAAAAAACACCTTCCACAACCCTTCTGTGCAGAGATATGAAGGCATGGCGGGATACGTAGGTAAGGAATGATAGCAGCATTTTCAGTAGGTTTACCTGACAATGATCTACTAAAAACAGAAATGTTGGTGATGGTGATGTTACTTTATAAAAGACACTACCCACCAGGGCACATACAGTCCTGTAGTCTGACAGTAGGTGTGCATTTTCTGCCCCATATCACAAATTTTGATTATTCTAAACACATTTTATAGACTCACACAGAGAAAGAATACACTCTAAATGCACACTCACACTCTAAAGGCCCGTTCACACAGGACACTTTTTGGCCGCACTTTTTGTTGACGTTTAACACCTCGTGACTAAACAAAAGGTGCTACTGTGGGGGTACTGCTTCAAAATCTTTGGCAGATTGGCACTTTTGCTCATGTGCCCAGAGGTGCTGATGTTACAGTAAACACCACAGGAAAACAGTCAAGATGATCCCAGTTTTACTTTCATTCAATGCAGAAGATGACGCACCAAGGCATGATGAATGTGCTGCTGTTTTTTTCATTAGTGTCTGAACACAAAAAGCTATATGAAAAATGCAACAGCAACTAAAATAATGTCAGTAAGAGTGACGAGTAGCAAATGGGATTTGAATGGGAAGTTTCATTTCACTTTTCTTTCATGACTTGCAAGTTCATTAAGCACCATCTAATGTCAGTGGGTAATTTTGCACGTTCACCGCTCAACGCTGATGAAAATTGCCTGGGTGTGAATGCAAAAAAAAAAAAAGCCTAGAAAAATGCTGATGATAATCGTAAGCGAAAAGCGTCCTGGTGTGTATAAGCCTTAAAGGGCCATGAACCCCCCCACCAACACCATCTAGGCATGGTGTATTCAGACATCTAGTTTGAATAAAGTTAGGAAAGTGGGTGAGTTCAGCTTTGTTTAGGTGGGAGCAGGGCTGGAGTGTCCATAGAGGTGAGGTGTTTGGAAGTAAAAATCGAGTTGACATCAGAACCCAACGTCAGGCGGATGTCAATTTCCAATGTCCAACCTAAAATCAACCTAAAATCAACTAAATATCAACGTCAAATCATGTTACACCCTGAGGTTGTGTGGACGTTGCCACTATGACATCTATCAGATGTTAGACTTTGGTCACTTTCCAACACAACTTAAAATTAATCAAATATCAACGTAATTTGATATCAATTTTGGAAGTCAAAATTCAAATTTTCAATTCAGCTTTATTTGTATAGCGCTTTTACAATGTAGATTGTGTCAAAGCAGCCTCACATAAATGGTCATAGTAACTGGAACAGTGTAGTTCCCCTTCGGTTGGGGAACTTCAGTGCCATGAATGGGAGGATTCGGATCAGAAGCCGCTTATCTGGAGAGTATTGAACGGGCCAATGAATGAAATTAATTGGCAGCGTAAGCTTGCGCAGGTGTGCGACATCTGCAATTATCTCAGCATATAAGCACACCTGAAGCCAGCAGACGCCATCCTTTTCGCTTCAGATCCTTTCTGAGTGAGTCGATGAGGGTTCCTCTTGCTGATCAGCACTTCAGAGCGAACGAGTGTGTCTCCCGGTCCAGAGTGGGTCTTCGCGGTGGCAGACGGTCGAGCTGGGTTACTCCCTTGCCTGCGGTTCTTTGGGTCCGGTCCTCCAGAGCGGTGCGTATAGTTGCAACTTTCCTAAAAGAGCAACACAGTCGTGCAGCACGTCCTTTTCAGGATGGCGCTCCGACTGTGCGTTTCTGGATGCGGGGGTTTCCTGTCACCGGATGATGGACACGATCACTGCATTGCATGTTTGGGGGTCCAGCATGTTAATGCGGTGCTCGCGGGCGGTTCATGTCGTCATTGCGATGCCATGACCGTTGCACAGCTAAGATCGCGGCTAACTTTCGCAAGAGAGCGAGCCACCCCAGTTGCCTCCTGCTCTAAAAAAGCAGCGGGCGCTCGGGCAGATCTGAGGGTTTCAGCGGGAGCTAATCCGCCGCCCACGGGCTCGCGGACCTCTCGCTCCTCACGGCGCTCCATCCAAGCTTCGGGTGGTGAGAGTGATCCGTCTAACCAGATGGTAGCTCTCACACTCGCTGACACCGGAGATCAGATGTCCTCCGCGGCATCGGAGGGTGGGCTTTCACTGTCCGACGAAGATCCGGACCCGCTCGCCCCCTCCGGGCAGGTGAGCGCTGTCAAATCGGATCCTGAAGCGGACATGTTAGCCGTGCTTTCCCGGGCTGCTTCGGCCGTGGGGTTGGAGATGGTTTATCCCCCAGCTCCGCGGCCGGACCGACTAGATGGGTGCTACGTAGAGGACCAGAAGGCGAAGCCTTCGAAGCCTCTCGTCCCCTTCTTCCCGGAAGTGCACAGTAGGCTCACGCAGTCCTGGAGGGCACCTTTCTCTGCCCGTGCTGCGAGTGCCTCCGCCCTCACCGCCCTTGACGGCGGAGCTGCCAGGGGGTATGAGGCGATCCCGTCAGTGGAGCGCGCTATCGCGGTCAATCTTTGTCCGCGCGGCGCCTCTACGTGGCGGGGTTTGCCCCGCCTCCCGTCCAAAGCCTGTAGGTTGTCTGCCTCCCTCGGAGCCAGAGCTTATAAGGCTGCGGGCCAGGCTGCTTCTGCTTTGCACGCGATGGCCACCTACCAGCGCTACCAAGCGCAGGCGCTGGCCGAGCTGCACGAGGGCGGGTCCAACCCAAGCTTATTACATGAGCTGCGCACCGCGACCGACTATGCTCTTCGGACTACTAAGTCCGCCGCGTGTGCGCTGGGGAGGACGATGTCCACACTTGTGGTTCAGGAACGCCACCTCTGGCTAAACCTGGCCGATATGCGCGACGTTGACAAAGTTCGCTTTCTTGACTCGCCCATATCCCAGGCTGGCCTGTTCGGCGACACCGTCGGTGAATTCACCCAGGAATTCAAGGCGGTGAAAGAGCAGTCGGATGCGATGGGCAATGTCATCTATCGGCGTGGCCGTAAGCCCGCTCCGCCCGCCGAGCCATCCACCTCCGCTGTTCCTCGCCGAGGGCGCCCGCCAACGAGTGCTGCCCCGCCCCCGCCTGCGCCTCCGGCCAAGCGGGCGCGGCGTTCACCTCGAAAGCAGGCAGCCCCTCCTGCCCAGGGCGCCGTTAAGTCCGGTAAACGGACCGCGAAGCGTCCCTGAGACAGGCCATCCGGAGAAGAGGAAACTTGCTCTTTCCCCGCTGGAGGGCGGGGCCCCGATAACAACGGTACTTTTCAGTGCCACCAAAACATCAGTAAAAGAGCACTTTTTCCCTTCCCCGGATGTGACTGCACGAGTTCTGCCAGTCCGGGACGCGCTGCCTTCCGGCTCGCAGACTCTACGTGCTTCGCCAGTGGCTCACGAGCGCTGGGGGGACGGTCTCCCTTTCCTCAGCCCTCCAGCCCCCTCTCCGGAGTCAGGGTGCGGAGCCAGAGCGAATCGCTCTCCTCCAGCTCTTCCGCGGGACCCTCGTGCTTCCCGGATCAGCACACCCACTCCGCGCTGCCCCACCGCTGGTACGTCAGCGATTGTAGCGATGACTCCATTAGCGAGGGCTCTGCCTGCCTGGTTAGCGCGGGCCAGCCCCTCGCGGTGGCTCATACGCACAATCAGACTCGGTTACGCGATTCAGTTCGCGAAACGGCCCCCCAAGTTTACGGGCGTGTATTTCTCCAGGGTCAACCCCCTGTCCGCCCCTGTCTTGCGAGAGGAGATTGCTGCCCTCCTGGCGAAGGGTGCAATCGAGCCGGTTCCTCCAGCCGAGATGGAGAGTGGGTTTTACAGCCCATACTTCATCGTACCCAAAAAGAGCGGTGGGTCACGGCCAATCCTAGATCTGCGCGTTTTGAACCGCTGTCTGCACAAGCTGCCGTTCAGAATGCTCACGCAGAGGCGCATTCTCCAATGCGTTCGTCCTCGGGATTGGTTTGCAGCCATAGACCTGAAGGACGCGTATTTCCATGTCTCCATTCTTCCACGCCACCGCCAATTTCTGCGGTTTGCGTTCGAGGGTCGAGCGTGGCAGTACAAGGTCCTCCCCTTCGGGCTCTCTCTGTCTCCGCGGGTCTTCACCAAACTCGCGGAGGGTGCCCTAGCGCCCCTTCGGCTCGCGGGCATTCGCATACTCAATTATCTCGACGACTGGCTGATTTTAGCCCACTCGCGGGAGCAATTGATTATGCACAGGGACAAGGTGCTTCGGCATCTCCGCCTACTGGGGCTTCAGGTCAACCGAGAAAAGAGCAAACTCGCCCCCGTGCAGAGGATTTCTTTTCTCGGGATGGAGCTGGACTCGATCACCATGGTAGCGCACCTCTCCGAGGAACGCGCTCGCCTGTTGCTGAACTGTCTGAGGGAGCTCGACAGCAAACTAGTGGTCCCACTGAAGTTCTTTCAGAGGCTCCTGGGGCATATGGCATCCGCAGCCGCCGTCACGCCACTCGGGTTGCTCCATATGAGACCACTTCAGCACTGGCTTCACGATCGGGTCCCCAGACGCGCATGGCACGCGGGCACACACCGGGTCTCGGTTACTGCGCTGTGTCGCCGCGCCCTCAGCCCTTGGAACGACCCCTCGTTCCTACAGGCCGGTGTGCCTCTAGGACAGGCGTCCAGCCATGTTGTTGTTTCAACAGACGCTTCCAACACGGGTTGGGGGGCCGTGTGTCGCGGGCATGCGGCTGCGGGCCTCTGGAAGGGTGCCCAGCTGCATTGGCATATCAATCGCCTAGAGCTGTTGGCAGTGTTCCTCGCTCTCCACCGCTTTTTACCGGTGCTGGAGCGGCAACACGTGCTGGTCAGGACGGACAGTATGGCGGCGGCGGCGTATATCAACCGCATGGGGGGTATGCGCTCTCGCCGCATGTCTCAGCTCGCCCGCCGTCTGCTCCTCTGGAGTCACCCGCGGCTGAAATCGCTGCGCGCCATTCACGTCCCAGGCACGCTCAATCGTGCAGCCGATGCGCTCTCACGACAGCTGTTACGCCCTGGAGAATGGAGACTCCACCCCGAGTCTGTTCAGCTGATATGGGCGCGATTCGGGGAGGCCCAGATCGATCTGTTTGCTTCCCCCGAGAACGCTCACTGCCAGTTGTTTTTTTCCCTGACCGAGGGCTCTCTCGGCACGGATGCACTGGCCCACAGCTGGCCTCGGGGCATGCGCAAGTATGCGTTTCCCCCAGTGAGCCTGCTCGCGCAGTTTCTGTGCAAGGTCAGGGAGGACGAGGAACAGGTTCTGCTAGTTGCGCCCCTTTGGCCCAACCGGACCTGGATATCAGAGCTCTCACTCCTCGCGACGGCCCTCCCCTGGCGGATCCCTTTGAGAGAGGACCTACTCTCTCAGGGACAGGGCACCATCTGGCACCCTCGCCCCGATCTTTGGAACCTCCACGTGTGGTCCCTAGACGCGAGGAAGACTTAGGTAACCTACCGACTGCGGTGGTTAATACCATCACTCAGGCTAGAGCCCCCTCCACGAGGCGCGCCTACGCCCTGAAGTGGAGTCTATTCACTGAATGGTGCGTCTCTCGCAGAGAAGACCCCCGAAATTGCCAGATTAGTGTTGTGCTCTCTTTCCTTCAAGAGAAGTTGGACAGCAGGCTGTCGCCCTCCACTCTCAAGGTTTACGTGGCCGCCATCTCCGCTTATCATAGCGCGGTAGCTGGCGGCACCGTGGGAAAGCATAACCTGGTCATCCAGTTCCTTAGGGGTGCTAGGCGAATTAATCCATCTCGCCCCCCTCTCATGCCCTCTTGGGATCTCGCCCTCGTTCTCACGAGTCTGCGATCCGATCCCTTTGAGCCACTCGAATCAGTATCTCTAAGATTTCTGTCCCTGAAGACAGCTCTGCTGGTTGCGTTGGCCTCCATCAAGAGGGTCGGGGACCTGGAGGCATTTTCGGTCAGTGACTCGTGCCTGGAATTCGGGCCGGATTACTCTCACGTTATCCTGAGACCCCGCCCCGGTTATGTGCCCAAGGTTCCTACCACCCCCTTTAGAGATCAGGTAGTGAACCTGCAAGCGCTGCCCCCGGAGGAGGCAGACCCAGCCCTTTCTTTACTTTGTCCAGTTCGCGCTCTGCGCATTTATGTGGACCGTACTCAGAATTTTAGATCATCTGAGCAGCTCTTTGTCTGTTATGGCGGTCGGCAGCAGGGAAGTGCCGTATCGAAACAAAGATTATCCCACTGGATTGTGGATGCCATTTCACTCGCTTATTCGAGTCGAGGTCAGCCGTGTCCCCCGGGAGTACGTGCACACTCCACTAGGAGCGTTGCATCCTCTTGGGCGCGTGCACGCGGCGCCTCTCTAACAGACATCTGTAGAGCTGCGGGCTGGGCGACACCCAACACATTTGCAAGGTTTTACAATCTGCGAGTGGAGCCGGTTTCCTCAAGGGTATTAGGTAACCCTTTGGTGATTGAGGAGACAACTCGGTAGGGTGTTGAAACACGCTTGCTGCGCCATTCTCCCTAACACGGAGGTACGTGCGCCTTTTTTATCTGTCAGTAAAGTTCCCCGTCAGGTGAGCCCTGCAGATTCCTCCGTGGCCCCCAGCACTGACTCAGCGGAGGAGTCACTTGCTGGCCCACTACGTTGTAGGTCTGCCCGCTGGTCAGCCCGCGTTTTGGGTATAGGTGCCTGCTATGCGTGATCCCCACTAGGCGATCCCATATGCTTATTCCGCCACGGTTAAGTCCCCCCCCTGGGCGGACCCGTGTCTTCCCTCTCCGCTAACCACTCTTTGCTATGCGTACTCCCCCTTTTTAGGGCTAGTCCATAGGTAAATTCTGCCATCTATCCCCCCCTTGGGTAACGGATGGCCTCCGCAGCGTCCTCCCTATCGGGATTGCACGCTTCCCAACGTACTGTCGTATTTCCTAGAATTATCTAGATGCTCACGACTTCCCAAAAAATATATCTAAATCCGTAAAACTTCTGTTGAAGTAGGATAAATTAGGGCCAGGGACACGTTGGAGGACCGCGCCCCCCATGATGTGGGTGCGTCACGCTTGCTTGACTATCTCCTCATCGGGGGTGTTGGTAAGGTGCAGTCATTATGGCGCTTTCCATATTCTCCCATTCATGGCACTGAAGTTCCCCAACCGAAGGGGAACGTTCGAGGTTACAGAAGTAACCCTTCGTTCCCCGAGGAGGGGAACGGAAGTGCCATATTCCGTCGCCATAATGACTGTCCCTTAGCTGTTTGAAAGTCTCTTCAGCTTAAAAGGATGGCGTCTGCTGGCTTCAGGTGTGCTTATATGCTGAGATAATTGCAGATGTTGCACACCTGCGCAAGCTTACGCTGCCAATTAATTTCATTCATTGGCCCGTTCAATACTCTCCAGATAAGCGGCTTCTGATCCGAATCCTCCCATTCATGGCACTTCCGTTCCCCTCCTCGGGGAACGAAGGGTTACTTCTGTAACCTCGAACGTTCAGTTTTTAGTGTTTAGGTTCAGTTTAGTTTAGCTCATTTCAGTGTGATTTAAAATCATTACTGAGAGTTCAAACACTGTAGAGCAAATTTATCGATGCGTAGCTCTACCAATCCTGAACCATGCAAGCCAGTGGCGACAGCGGAGAGGGAAAAAAAAACTTCACCTGATAGGAGTGAAGAAAAAAAACCTTGAGAGAACCAGACTCATGAGGCACGACCATTTTAATTTCTCCGCTGGCCAAAAGTCTTGTGCAGATCTTCAGTCACCACGGTCCTTAGACGCTGGCTAGACATTGAATTTTGATCACCTGATGTCATGACCTAAATCTAACCTAATATTAACGTCTTATCGTCTAACCTTCGATGCAGCCCATTTATAAACACAACACTGAACAATTCGAACAATTCTTCTACTACTTGTTTTAAATACGGTAGGAAACACAACGTGGTGTCTCTCTGAACACTGTAACAGGTAAAAAGAGTCTTTAAAGCGATATCATGCATAATAATGAAGTTGCATCTCTTTCACAGTAGAGCATGCTGATTGGTCAGAATAAAGAATCAAATCTCATGAATTAATGAACAGATGTGCTGAAATCTCATTAATGTCACTTTGTACCGGCCAGTAAAGACAGCCAATCTCCATGCTGGAATTTACATAATTTATTTACATCTCATGGTTGATGCAGCTTCAAAATTTCTTTTTAAACCAAAAGAACGAATTTGCTGTATACAACGCAATAACAACCAATTTTCACTTGTTAGCTAAATATATAAGTCCTGATAGTGTTTTTAACAAAGTTGGACAGTAAATGACTGTTAACATCTCAATGTATATTGGTGTTTTTTAACCCTATAAGTTAGTCCAACCAAACTTCATGATAAATCACATGCGCTAACAGCATTAGTAGCTAGTTCCTAAAAGTCCCAGACATAAAAGACAAGAAATGTGTAAATCCATGGTCTTAAATGATTGTACATCAGAGTACCAAGCAATCAACAATAGAATTCTTGCATATACTACATATTAGGAATTTTCTGTTCTTTATAATTTTCATCTCAGAGAGACAAAGAAGCTTACAATAGAGGACAGTATTGTTCTAGTAGTCTAAACAGATTGTCGCGCTCTTCTGCCGTCTCATAAACAATCACACGTCGAGTGCAAATGCTCACACACTTCCCCTTTTAAGGATGTCGCTGCACAGTGAAACAACGGGAGTAACTTGAAATGATTCTGCTGATAAACCTGTTTGGAGAACGAGCTTCGTGGAAGCAACGTTTTTCTTGTGCTGATTTAAGGGAAAAGATTTATAATCATTCAAGTGGTTTATCAGAGCATAAGTCTCAGTGCTCTGTTATGAAGCAGTTTATGAAGTCTGCCACAGCTGGTTTTTGTTAAGCGTTCAGACTGCTGTAAATGTGGTGGTTAAGGTTGGGTTGTGGTTTTGTTTGCAGGTTATGATGTGCAGTCGGCATACACACCCAACGGGGTGTTATACATCACTGGAGCACCACGGTTTAACCACAGCGGTCGTGTGACAGTGTACCGCTTTGATGGAGAAAATGTCACCATAGTGCAGACACTGAAAGGAGAACAGGTATAGTCATAATCACAGATCACACACTGTTTTTGGTTGATCCCAGCATAGATCTACAACATGTAACCTTCTGTACCTCTATATAAAACATGATTAATTCACATTTCACTCCAGAAACTAAAGAAATAATTATATGAGACAATTCTTTTTTATTTCTGAATTTATATACATAGACTTAAAAATATCAACTTAAAAGAAAAATTAAAAATTAAAAAACTAAAAACTAGATTTCTGTACAAATTTAAAATGTAATAATAAAACCTATTTCGATGTAAAACTTATCACACTTTTTTCTCAAAAAGAGAAAGTATATATATTTTTCAAATTACAAAAATATTTTTAAAGCTTACATTTTTGTAAAAAAAAAAAAGCACATACATACAATAAAAGTACAGTTGATGTCAGAATTATTAGCCCCCTTGAATTATTAGCCCCCTGTTTATTTTCCCCCCAATTTCTGTTTAAAGGAGTGAAGATTTTTAACAAATTTCTAAACATAAAAGTTTAATAACTCATTTCGAATAACTGATTTATTTTATCTTTGCCATGATGACAGTAAATAATATTTGACTGCATATTTTTCAAGACACTTCTATACAGCTTAAAGTGCCATTTAACAGCTTAACTAAGTTAATTAGGTTAACTAGGTAGGTTAGAGTAATTAGACAAGTTATTGTATAATGATGGTTTGTTCGATAGACTGTATAGCATATAGGGGCTAATCATTTTGACCTTAAAATGGTTTATAAAAAATTTAAAACTGCTTTTATTTTAGCCGAAATGAAACAAAAACTTTCTCCTGAAGGAAAAATATAGTTAGACATACTGGGAAAATTTCCTTGCTCTGTTAAACATCATATAGGAAATATTAAAAAAAAGAAAAAAAGGGGGCTAATAATTCTGACTTCAACTAATGTATATATATATATATATATATATATATATATATATATATATATATATATATATAATTTTATGCATGTTCAATAAAAAAGGTCAGGAGAGGGTTTTTTTTTTTTGCATACAAATGAATAATTCGATTCATAGAATTCTGTTATTCTTAATGCAATGCAAGAGTTACATTCAGGGGTGCACAACAAATTTCCTTTCCTGATTCCTGAGCTTTTATACATAGCTGATATTAACAGGTGGAGTTTAGTGGAATTCATCACTTGTTAGTAATTCTCCAGTCCTTTACTGGCACCCACACATACATCCTCTTTTCCAACTAATTCTCTGCACAACATCAAAAGCACAAGAATTCTTAACTGCAAATTCTGTAAAAATAAAAAAATTTATATATTTTATTTTATAAAATACAAAATGCAACAGTATAGTATTAGTATTTAGTTTTCTTTACATTAGAATCAATATTTTATGTATAAATAGTAATAATATATAAAAAATAATAAATACATAAAAACATTTTATAAATCGATTAGTTTTATGAAAAGTTATCTTTTTAAACATGACAAGATTTTGTCCAAATTTTTGCCATTGTCTCATTGTCATTTTTTATAATTTTGTAAGTGTACCCCCCCCCAAAAAAAAAGCATAAATCAATGTAATGTAAAAAAAATCCATATAATTCTTGCATATTCTAATATTTTTTACAAAGCACTGCTTTTAAATGTACTTTAATTAATTGTCATTTACTGTAAATTTTAATACATACTACAAATTTTAGTTTTGTCTTGTGATTTTTTTCATGTTCCATTTCCTTTTCTGGAGCATTAATAAGCATGTCATGTTGTTCTTAGATTGGCTCCTATTTCGGCAGCGTCCTTCAAACGCATGACATCGATGGTGACAATTACACCGACATCCTCCTGGTCGCAGCTCCCATGTTTATGGGTCCTGAGCGGGATGAACAAGGGCAGGTCTACGTCTACAAACTCAACGAGGTGTGTATGAGTGTTTAATCCACATACTGGAAACATGTGTAAGGGAGCAATGCACCTTCATTCCTCCACAAGAGCATGTGGGAGCAGTAAATCTGGGTCTGTCTTTAGGGAGTGAGTGTTGTGTTGTGTTCAGCCTCAGATAAGTGCTCCCATAGCAGGGGAAGGGCTGCTGGAATGAGAGCTTGGCATCATGGGAATGGAAATCTAATGAAAGTCTAATATCTTCAGCCTCTGTGGAGCACCTTCTGTCAAGAGCTTATAAACAGAGGTTTAAATGAGGGGAATTTCCATTGGTTTAAGTTTTTTTTTGTTCAGTTGTCAGGGTTTTTTGATATCTGTATTGATTCTGCATATCGCCAAAGTTCCTTTAATGGAATGTCAGTTCATCGAATAGGCGTTGTGCCTACAGGCAGCTATTTCAGGCATGCATGACTAAGTCCTATCTGTTTGAAAAGAAAGATCCTCAAATCTCAGAAACGCTTTGATAAACTCACAATTAAACGACACATTTTAAACTAAATCTGACTTGATGTTTGCAATAATGCTAAAATTTGGATAGCAAATGAAATATTTATTTGCTTATTGATTAGAGCAAAACACTAAAGTTTTATTCAAGGTTAAAAACGAAATGTTCTAGACAGTAAAATAGATTTTTAACTGAACTAATAAACCCTAACAAAGCAATAGCTGATGTTGCGAGAATCATGCATTCATGCATTACTCATGGTGCTGTTTAGAATTTTCCACCAATCAGAAAGTGGCGGTGAGCAAAATCCACCAAAAAAGTCCTCTAGTTCAACCTATTTCCATGACGAACAGCATGGTTCCACCAATCAGAGAGTCACGCTGAGCAAAACCCACCAGAGCCATCGAGAGAGACTTGTGACAACGTCCATCATGTTTGATCGCCACATCAATTATATAGACTTTATGTAGCATTATAAAACATACACAATATATATTTTTTTTATAAAAAAAAAACTTTGAAAAGTGCAAAACCAGCCATATTTAGTTGTAACTTGGCTGTAAGTGCTAACTTACAGGAATTATTAAGAGGCTCCAAGCATACCTGTCAACACTCCTCTTTTTCCTGGGAATCTCCTGTATTTCAGACCCATCTCCCGCCACCCTCCCGTTTTGTTATTTCTCCCGGAAAACTCTCGTGTCAGATCTGCTTTGCCTTCCGAAAGCATGCGCACTCATGAATACTTAAGAATGAGAGTCTTTTCATAGGATAAGAAAACTCAGCTATAAAAAATAATGAGAAAACAATGCATCATCACTTCACTTGAAGATTCACACTGTCACTGATTTTGATCCCGCCCCCAAAATTGTCTTAAACTTGGAAGATAAAATTAGCTGACAAAAGCTCAAAATTATCCAGTTTTTCCCACAATTAAAACTAACAGGGGCGAGGCAGTGGCACAGTGGGTAGTGCTGTCGCCTCACAGCAAGAAAGGTCTCTGGGTCGCTGGTTCGAACCTCAGATCAGTTGACGTTTCTGTGTGGAGTTTGCATGTTCTCCCTGCCTTTGCATGGGTTTCCTCCGGGTGCTCCGGGTTTCCCCCACAGTCCAAAGACATGTGGTACAGGTGAATTGGGTAGGCTAAATTGTCCGTAGTGTATGAGTATGTGTGTGGATGTTTCCCAGAGATGGGCGTGAAAACTTGCTGGATTAGTTGGCGGTTCATTCCGCTGTGGCGACCCCAGATTAATAAAGGGACTAAGCCGACAAGAAAATGAATGAATAAAACTAACAGGTGCTGACGTTTTGACTGATGCTTAATACACACAAATCTGTTACAAAAAAAATGTAAAAGTACTCCAGGGTGTCTTGAACCTTTAAAGCAAATTGCAGAAAGAGATTTTTTTTACAATTTTATTGGATCCAGTGAAGATTAGCAAATGTCATCAATCAGAAAGTCACAGTGCTTTCTTAAAGTACCCCAAATGAGAGAATTCATGTGCGAGTTAAATGATGATAGAATAAAAAGTTTGGGGTGGACTAACCCTTTAAGGTTTTTGTTCTTTATTAAGTGACCTGGGGTAAAATATCATGCTCAAATGTATAACTCAATGCTACTTAACTCTACAGTTACTCATATGTTCAGCTGGTTGTAGATCTGCTGTTTCTCAGACATGTTGTGTGATTGTTTCTATCAGAGTGGGCTGTTTGAACATGAGATGACACTGAAGCCGGTCAATCAGACGTGTTGTTCGGGTCACTCCCACAACAACTGTAAAATCGTCAGTAAGAACGAGCCCTGTGGTGCACGTTTCGGCACCGCGATCGCTGCAGTTCCCGACCTCAACCTGGACAAATTCAGTGACATAGTGATAGGATCACCTTTGGAGAATGACCATAGGGGAGCGGTGTATATTTACCACGGCTCACAGAAATCAATAAAGGAGAAGTATGTGCAGGTAAGTCCTTTTCATTTAAAGAATCAAGTGGTCTGCAACATTTTTGAGGCCAACAATCACATGCTGGGTAGAAAGACAGACAGATATGGGCCCACTGTTTATAGAAGCTGAACTTTAACATGTACAGCAACATATTAATGGATTTTGTAATAATTGTGGTAGGCTAGAAAAAAAAAAAAAAACTGCTGCTTGCTCAAACCTCAAACATACAAAATGAGCTGATACAACACAATTCAGGAGATATTTTTTGGACAACTTAATTGTTTAATGTTTAATCAGCTTAAATTTGCTAAGTTAGCTTAATCGATTTGTGCTGGGGACAACATGAATGAATTGTATTTTTTACAGTGTACATATCCAGCCTATTAAAAATTGTATTATCATTGTACAGTGCCATATTCTTGTTTTAATTATAATGCCATTCATTTGGGGCTACAAGGCACACAGAATTTCTAACAAGACATTTGAAATAAACTAAAAAGTTGGGTCGCCTAGCACTACCAGATTTACAACATTATTATTGGCCAACTAATGCTGGGGTCTTGATGTTTTGGTAATCTAGTGACCAAGATGACAAAAAACTTTCTGGCATGCAAACCAAATGGCTACATATGAAAATGCAGTTAGTTGTTAGTAGCCTTTTTAGCTTTTTTGAAACCCATTATCTTTAAAGAACTCACAATATAAAATATACTTGTTTTATTTGTGCTCAATAAAAATAAATCAAGAAAGGATGATAAAACTAAGTGACAGTGCATCCGGAAAGTATTCATAGCACTTCACTTTTTCTTTTTTTTTTGTTACAGCCTTATTCTAAAATGGATTCAGTTCATTTATTTCCTTAAAAATTCTACACACAATACCCCATAATGACAATGTGAAAAAAGTTTATTAAATTTATTAAATTTATTACAAATAAAAGCCTGAAAAATCACATGTACAGAAGTATTCACAGCTTTTGTTCAATACTTTGTTGATGCACCTTTGGCAGCAATTACAGCCTGAGATCTTTTTGAATATGATGCCACAAGCTTGGCACACCTGTCCTTGGGAATTTTTGCTCATTCTTCTGCAGAACCTCTCAAGCTCTGTCAGGTTGGAAGGGAAGCGACGGTGTACAGCCTTTTTTTAGATCTCTCCAAAGATGTTTAATAGGATTTAGGTCTGGGCTCTGGCTGGGCCACTCAAGGACATTCACCGAGTTGTTGTGAAGCCACTCCATTGACATTTTGGTGCTGTGCTTTGGGTAATTGTCCTGCTGGAAGATAAAACGTCGCCCCAGTCTGATTTTCATTCAGGATGTCTCCATTTCTCCATTGCTGCATTCAACTTTCCCTCTATCCTGACTAGTCCAGTTCCTGCTGCTGAAAAACATCCTCACAACATGATGCTGCCACCACCATGCTTCACTGATGGTATTAGCCTGGTGATAAGCGGTGCCTGGTTTACTCCAAACAAAACTCCTGGCATTCACTACGAAGAGTTCAATTTTAGTCTCATCAGACCAGAGAATTTTGCTTCTTATGATCTACGATTCCTTCAGATGCCTTTTGCCTAATTCCAGGCGGGGAGTCTATACCTGTCTATTTAGGACAACCATCTGTGCAGCAATCCACCAATCAGGCCCATCTGGCCACTCAACAATACAGGCCTGATTGGTGGATTGCTGCACAGATGGTTGTCCTATATAGACAGGTGTATACCTTTTCAAATCATGTCCAATCAACTGAGTTGACCACTCAGTTGACCACTCACTCAGAACTTCAATTTAGCTGCTGAAACATCTCAAGAATAATCAGTGGAAACAGAATGTACCTGAGCTCAATTTTGAGCTTCACGGCAAAGGCTGTGAATACTTATGTACATGTGATATTTTCAGGTTCTTTCTTTGTAATAAATTTAGAACAATTTCAAAAAATATTTTTTCACATTGTCATTATGGGCTATTGTGTGTAGATTTTTGAGGAAATAAATTAATTTAATCCATTTAGGAACAAGGCTTTAACATTACAAAATGTGGAAAAAGTCAAGTGCTATAACTACTTTCCGAATGCACTGTATGCTGAACCTCAAGTATTTTTAACTAATAGTATTAATAAAAAGTTTGCAGATCTAATTCTTAAATTTAACCGTTTTAAAAGAAATAATAAATTATGGATAGTTCATCCAGAGATGGAAATTCTGTTATAATTTCCTCACCCTTTTCTTGTTCTTTGAAACTTTGAAAACTTGAGTTTCTTTTTTTCTGTTAAACACAAAAGAAGATATTTAGAAAAATGTAGGAAACCTGTAACCATTGACTTTTATAGTACTAGTTTTATATACTATAGTTTCCACAATAATTAGAGGTTTTCAGATTTCTTCAAAATACCTTCTGTAGTGTTCAACAGAAGAAAGAAACTCATAAAGGTTAAGAAACCACTTGAGGGTGAGTAATTTGAGAGTAAACATTACAAAATTAATGTTATATTTAAAAATTAGACCTGTGAACTTTATATTAATAATATTAGTTAAAAATAATTGAAGTTCAGTTTAGCTCAGTTTTATTATCCATTTCTTATTTATTTTTATCAAGCACAATTAAAACAAGTATATTTTACATCGTGACTTCTTTAAAGATAATAGGTTTCAAAGGAATAGCAGCTAAGGATGAAATTAAAATAAATAAAGTGTTGCCATTTAAATTCATAAACGTTTTGTTATTTGCTTTACATTCACAAGCACCAACAGGAAATGGTCATGTTTCATATATAATATGTATATATCTATGTTTAGCGTATTGCAGCTGGAGGAGATGGAGAGAGCATGAAGTTCTTTGGCCAGTCGATTCATGGCATTATGGATTTGAATGATGATGGCATCATCGATGTCACTATTGGAGGAATAGGAGGAGCTGCACTTTATTGGTAAGTCTGATGATTTGATTAATCGGTTCATATGATGGCCTATAATGTTTTCCTTTTCTTATAGTGTATATTATGGTGCATGTAGAAAATATGTTAAAAAGTTCATAGCCTCAAACAATAGATTTATTCCTTCTAAAATGAGAATACTAGAGCCAGACCTGTCTTAAAGCGATAGTTCACCAAAAATATATACATCTACTTACTATTTAAAACTGGATAAATTTGAGCTTTTGTCAGCTAATTTCAGCTTCCGGGTTTAAAGTGATTTTTAGGGCGGGATAAAAATCGACGACGTAGCGCAGTACTGCAAGTGCAATGATGACGCGTCGGTTTCTCATTATTATTCATAGCGGAGTTTTCTTATCCTATGTGAAGAGCCGGCTGCTTAATTATTCATGAGAGCACGTGCATTCCAAAGGCAGACCTGCCAGTTTCAAGCAAGCTGTGAGACACAGACCAACGGAACGCAGTAGCCGTTCATGAAGGCTCGTATGTGTTTGTTTCCATGATCCACGGGGTTTGTTGCATGTTTTATCCCCGCGATCTTGTCAGGGCCGATCATACAGCAAAGCTGTGTGTGTGCTGCAAGCATTTTTGTCGGGAGAGCAGCACGCGAATTAGAGAATGGCGGACGTTGACTTTTATCAGGAGTTCGTTCACATTCAGACACATCGCCGTGCTGCTGTGTTTGCCTAAATCCTCTATATTACCAGCAGGGCTGGTAATATAGGGTCTGCAACACAGAAAGTTCGATCACCCTTTGATTTGCAGCGAGACCGAGGGACAGACAGAAGAAACTGATTAATGGACCTTAATGGTCTACAAGCTGTATATGGCCTAATAAGCTCACTGGCATAGGCCGAGGCAGAATTGTGCAAAGCTTTATATGTAAAAAGAAGGATTTTAAAATCAACTCTTTATCTAATAGGAAGCCAGTGCAATGAGGCGAGGACAGGGGAGATATGATCTCTTTTCTTAGTTCCTGTTATCAATCTGGCGGCTGCATTTTGGACCAACTGTAACCGAGAGAGTGTTGACTGGGGTAGACCAATGTACAAGGAGTTGCAGTAGTCTAACCGAGAGGAGATTAAAGCACGGGTCACCGTTTCTAAATCTTTTTAAGATAGAAATGGCTTAACTTTTGCCACTAATCTAAGTTGGAAAAAGCTGCTCTTTAGTTAGCTCTTTAGATTAGCCAGTACTGAATCCAAATCTGGAGATAATCCAACAAAATAACTTATGATAATGGTCGAAAATTTGTACACCCAAATTTATGTCATGGAAAAATATTAAATAAAAAATTTTAAAAGAGCTTAATTGAAGAGAAACATAAAAAAAGTATAAAATGAAGTCATTTTTTTCTTCAATATTTCGCTTCATTTAATTATATTATTTTTCTATTTCTAAAGATATTTGATGACTAAAATATTATTTTAATAAATATATCCATTTAATAAATTTGTTCAAACACATCAAAATATATGACCTATCTTGACAGAGAAATGGATAAAAATATTCATTTTCAAACTGGGGTGTACTCATTTATGTTTTTTATTTATTTATTTACTTTATTTATTTATACAGGGACAATGTACAACATGACATGTTGTGCCAGAGTTAGCTATAAAGCTAATTTACATCTGTAGTCCCTGGGCAGGAAGTAACAAATTTAACACTTATAACAAATACAATATACACTTACAGTACAATAAATACAATACATCATTGTCAATAAAATGAAATCAAATCAGTGGCTGCATATTTGATTTTGTTTTAGCCAGATTTTAAGAACAGTTTTAAAATTATTAAAAGTGCTGCTCTCTCTGATATACACTGGTATTTTATTCCATCTTTCTGCTGCTTTAACTGAAAAAAACTGATTGTCCAAAAGCAGTTCACTTAAGTTTAACTGAACAATCACCTCTAACAGATGACCTAGTCTGTCTTATATTGTCCTTGCCGACAATCACACATTGTTTGAGGGGTGGTGGTGCAAGATCATGAAATATTTTATACATTAAACACACATCAGCATAAAATAAGAAACTGTCAAATGTTAGTAATTTTTGTTGTGCAAAACAGTTGCAATGATGATAGCTCCTTGGCTTTTTAGCTAAAATTTTAACAGTTTGTTTATATATAACATACAATGGTTTTAATGTTGTAATGTTCGTATGCGACCAGCTTGTAGCACAATAAGATAAATGAGGTAAAATCATTGTATTCATAAAAAGTTTAGCAGCAGCCATAGGTAACTGATGCCTAATGTTTGATCCCTGTATAATATTATAGCTAATAAATTTGAAGGAATGTGTGTATATTTTATATATGTCATATCCAAGTATAAACTTGTATGTCATCTATGTCATTTCATATATTGCTAAATTACAGCTGTTTTCATGCTTCTTCATATAAAATCACAGTTACCAAAAAAATGGTAAAATTGCTAAAAAACTAACAGATCCTATAAATGAGTCTCAACATAACATTCATTTCTCTGTCCTGTCGTACATCATTTAAAAATTCCCACTAATGTCTGTGGCTAAAATAAAAACCACGGGTATGAAACTTGAACTCACTACCCTCTTGACGTCCAGCTTCCTCTTCCCATCCGCAACAGCTGTCTCAAATTTGGCCATGAGCCTAAACATCCCACAATTGCAGAGGCTCGTCCGTCAGGGGTTACGTCTCTCCGCTACGACCCATTTCTGCTGGACTCTGAGTGTGTGAGAGCCTCCAACCACCAAATAAACTCTTGGCTGAGTTTCCTTTCTTAGATCCCCCTGTAGAGATCACAGATTCCCCAACGGCCACCACATGACCCCTAACGCTGGGACTCTGGGACTGTTGAGCAAATCCATAGAGCCTAGTGACCTCTGCCATCTTCACTCCCCATAAATGCACCACCCAGCCTTTTAGGAGTGCTGTAATTGACCACATATTACATGTTTTTGGAGACTATCTGAAATGTTTAGTTGGACCGGAATCAGTTTATGATCTATGGAGCAGCTGTTGTTGTACTGAGTGAAATGAAGTACCGATTAATCCTGCAGATTCTGCTCTGTTCCTATAAACATTTTGTTGAATTTGTTGAATCCAGGTCTCGGGATGTTGCAGAGCTTCTCGCTGAGATGACTTTTGACCCTATTAAGATCAATCTCCAGCATACGTGTCAAGTCCATGGGAAGACCACCGTATGCGTGAAGACGAGAGTATGCTTCAAATATCGAATCAAGTCTGTTAAAGAGATGAACACTGGAACTGGTGAGTGTCTGACTAATGCTGGGTCCACACTAAACATGAAGAGATCATATGCATCTCCTAATTTCTTAGTGGTTCCTATGAGAAGCGTCTATTCCCAGAGCTTCCGCTATTAATGTGTCTTACAATTATCATTTTAAGGCAAGGCAAGTTTATTTATATAGCACATTTCATGCACAATGATAATTCAAAGTGCTTTACATAAACAGGAATAAAAGGAACAAGTATAAGAAAATAAAAACAACAAAGAATAAAAATTATTAATGACATAAAAACTGATTAAAATGTGTTTTAAAGGAATGTAAAAGAAAAGAAGGACATCTGTCGGACATAGCAGAGTGCTCATTTAGTAAAGGCTCAGCTAAACAGATGTAAATTAAGTCTGGATTTGAACGTGTAATGTTGGAGCACATCTGATCATTTCTGATTCCAGCAGTGAGGGGTGTAGTATCTGAAAGCAGATACACCCTGCTCCGACTGAACTCTTGGATTTTCTAGTTTATATGATCCTAAAGATCTGTGATCTATTTGATTTGTATTCAGTAAGCATATCTGTAATGTATTGAGGTCCTAGGCCATTTAGTGATTTATAGACAAGTAATAATACTTTAAAATCTATTCTGAATGTTACTGGAAGCCAGTGTAAATAACTGAGGACAGGTGTGGTGTGCTCTGATTTTCTGGTTCTGGTCAGAATCTGGATGAACTGTCTGACTGTCTTTTTTGGAAGGCCGGTAAGGAGGCAGTTACAGTAATCCATTCTGCTGGTGATAAAAGCATGAACAAGATTCCTCAAGTACTCATTTTTGTTTTCACTTTTGGCTGAACTGTTTTTTATATAAACATTTGGTGTGAACCCATCAGTTTTATCAGTCAACTCTTTGGGCTCTATTTTGAAGGTCCATGCGCAAAACGCAGGGCGCAAATGCTTTCAGGGCGTGTCAGGGCGCGTTTTTGCTAATTTAAGGACGGGAAATCTGCCTTGCGCTTCGGAGCATGGTCTAAAAGGGTTGAGTTTATTTTCTTAATGAGTTATAGGTGTGTTTTAAGAATAAACCAATAAGAGTCTCATCTCCCATTCCCTTTAAGAGTCAGCTGCGTCGCGCCAAGAGCACATTCGCTATTTACAGGACGCAAAGTAAGTCTAAGTGGAAAAAATGAGCATTTCACAAGCAAACAGTTAACAGTTAACAGTTTTTTTAACAGAAAACTGTTAAACAGAGCATCTACTGCGTGAGAATGAGAGATAATGGATCTACTTTCACTTTCGCTCATGGATAGGGAAACTTTTACGCACAGACATCAATTAGTCTATAAATAAATACATTTTTTTGTTAAGCGCAAATATTCGTTTCAAAACTATTTCTAAATTCAGTTCTAATTTCCAGCAAACGAATAAATGAATAATAATAACAAAATGTGCTCAAAAACCTGAGTTCTATCCTAAAACACATGCTGTGCCCCTTATGGTCTTAAACCTGACAGGTGGGCAAATCTAAGCTTGTTTTTAATAAAACAAATATACATATGGATATAATAAATAATACTGTTAATAATAATAACATTATACAAAAGCAAATTGTTATGAATGAACTGAAAAAGCCTCCCGAGATGAAGAAAACATAAAAGCAGTGATTTTTCATATTTATGTAGGCTAGAAGATAATATGTTTTGTAATATTTTAATCCTTTATATTTATATTCTATATCTATTCTTATTATATCCTATATATATCCCTAATATTTACATTTTTTCATATGTAAAGATATTTGCCTATTGCTCTCTTGTGCGTATTAAGCAGTGCGTAAGCGAGGCACAACTCTGCGCCAGAGATTAGACCAGGTTTGTTTTGATCTAATGAAAAATCTATTATAGTTTCTCAAAATAGCAACGCACCAGCGGTCCGCCTCCGAACGCCTTCCTTTTTAGACCAGAACGCCTATGGGCGCAAAAATGAGCGCTAATGCATTTGCTATTTAAACAGTGTAGCGCAACGCCTCAAAACGACTCTTGCGCCAAGCTTAAACTACCAAAAGACTACTGCGCCACGCCTTGCGCCACACTGCGCCGGGTGTATGATAGGGCCCTTTATGTTTGTTTAAGGCAAAACATTACAGGTGAATTGGGTAAAAGAAAATTTTGAGTAGTTAGAAAAGTATTTTCTCAGTTGATTGATTACATTAAGAATCACAAAAATATTTTGCAATATATTTCTAAAATTCTTTAAATATGCCAATGAGGCATTGTTTTAATAAACAGGCACTAATCTGCATATACTTCTAGCACACAAATATGAACAGAAGAACACTGGATGAAGTCCAACAGTTTTTGACATATCAAAATGTGACCTATATATACACACAAATCTTTTTGCAGAGGGGATTTTGGGGAATCTCATATTATTACTGCATATTTCAGAAAATGATGTGAACAGACAGGGGAAAATGTTGCACAATTAATTTTGTAGCATAAAATATTGTAATCAGGTGAATTCTGTATGAACAAATTCTTCTGTAAAAACCTTCTGTGAAAAAAAATGGAATACTGAAATTAATAAATTGAGTTCCACACAATCGATTTGTTTTGGGACAACATGAAGAAATTAAGTTAACTTAATAGTTTCCACAAATGTAGGTGGATTGAAAATAAAACAATTACGTAAAATAACTGAAGAATTCTGTTGTTTCAGCTCTTTTTAAATAAGTAGTTTGAACGTACATCAAACATCAAACATTTTTGAGTGTAATATAAGTGCAACAAAAAGATTTATGGCTCAGTGCAGGAGAATTTTTATGACACGAGCTGTGAAAATGCAACAAAAGAAACATTAAAACTGTATTAAGTATGTTTTCTTTACATTAGAATAAAAAACACTTTATAAAGGCCCCAAAATCTGTTTGCAGCCAATAAAAAAAAAACTTCAGTGGTTCTGCCTGCTGTGTCTCATCTTAAATGTGTTTTGGCTCCAGTCATCAGGTACAGTTTAACGCTGGACTCTCTGAGAGCGGTAGCCCGAGGACGCTTTAATGAAACAGAGGACAGGAGGCTGCAGAAGAACGAGTCCATCCGGAATAAGTTTTGCAGAGAGCACACCTTCTACACGTCGGCAAGTAAATCAGTCCTCTTATACACAATGTGCAGGACAGGGCCAAGCCAAACAAACATCTATACTGTGAGGCTGAGCTTGTCTTTGTGTACAGTATTATGGCATTCACAAGTATTTAAAGAGCCCCTATTAAGCATTAAAAAAAGGCCTATTTTGGTTTTGGGGGTCTTCGACAACAGTCTGAAATGCATTCAAGGTCAAAAACACTTTTATTGTCATGTAATATGCATTTATTTTTACCTAATTTTCCCAATGACCATATGATATGTTCAGCGATTCATTTGTAATCGGCCGATATTGGCTAAAAATAGCTTGATCGGCTAACCCCAAAAGCGCCAATCAAAAAAGGTAATTACTTGTCGTAAATTACTCGCACGACTTTTTCACACATGCATGCACGGCACACAAGTAAACAACAGAGAGTGAAGCTTACCTGTGGCAACATGAAGGGGTAGGGGTGTCCCAATTCTCTTTAGCTCGAAAGCGATGGGCTAAGGGGAAGGGATAGATACCCCTTGAAACAGAGATTTTTCAAGACCACCCTCGAAATCAAGGGGTAAGAAAATTTCCCAGCAACGACAGCATAGCTGCACACAAATGGAAGGAGATGCACAGATTAGTATTTTTTTTGTCATTATTAATTTTTTTTTTACAATTAACAAGCATATGTTTTAATACACTCATAATAGCGTTCATGTTGTATCGCCATGGTAAAAAAAATACACAAGAATAAAAACCGCTAAACTTTGCTATCTATAATCCAAAAAATAACTCTTGAATAGCAGTCCCACAACATTCTGTCACTCAATGACACTTGAATACCCTGTCAGAAATGTCTATTGGCTGGGAATATGCGTTTTACATTGTCTGGTATAATGTTAAAGTTGTTTTCATGTGTTTAGATAAATATGGCCATGGTGTAAATGCACAGTATACAGTTATGATCTTATTGCCACATTTTATTGTTCTGATAATAACATGATATATGCATTCACTGATTTCCTGAAGTTAAAAGGCCAAGGGGATAGGGAAGGGGTAAAGGTACAATAAGAGAATTGGGATTGGGCCATAGTATTGTTGTAAAAAAATAAATGAATGAAAAGGAAGAGAAGAACCCAGTCCAGGAGACTCGAAACAAGCAGAATTCCTTTATTGAGACGTGTTGGTTAATCTGCAGTCATACAGCGTCTTTAAGATGTCCATGTGTCTGCAAGAGCCTACTAGAGGTCCGCAGTCTGCAAGTTCTTTCACAAGTCTGATTAAGACAAAGATTTCATGTCTATATTGTGTTTTTAGGAGGAGGGGACATGGCTAAACAGAGCATGCAAATTCAGTGTTGTGGTCAGCAGGGTAAACTGCTTTTTCAGGTCTAATCTGATCATGTTCTGGAGACAGAAACCGCCTGACCATTTGATCGAAAAGAGAAAACGATAGACACAACCATGCTGTGAAACTAACAATTTGCATTACTTTGGCTTAGCCTGTCATCAGAAAGACAAAAGGTTAATGTCCCTCCTAGCTGGAATGTTAATGAAATGATATAATTAAAAACCAAAGAATATAACTTTTCAGTTATACGTAGATTATTGTTTATTTGGAATTAGATGATAGAAATTTATATTTCCACAGTATGTCTAATTTATTTTAAAAATACACTGCACAAAGTATTGTCTTACTTTTGTTAGATTCTTAAATCTAGACACATTTATCTGAAAAATGATATGCCACATTAAATTTTGTTTTTTGTGAAAAAGTAAAACATCTACCAGCGGTTTGTTACTTGTTTTCTCATTGAATTAAGCAAATTGTTTTGACCCCACTGCCAGATGCTTTCGTTTTAACCACAAATTAATTTTGATCAGTTTTTCAGAAAATCATATCTTATTTGACTTCAATAAATGTATCTAGATTCATGAACACTTAGATATTTTTAGAACACAATGACTAATATGATGTAAATTTGAAAATCTGTTCTTGAATGCAGTGTATTTCACTGAATAAAAGTGTCTGGCAAACATATAAACATAAAGTATCCTGTAATGCAGACAATCCACTCCCTCTAGACGGCCTTCCTATAAAATCAGCCCCCGCTTTTCTCTGGAACCATTAACTGTGTGTCTTTTTTGCCTCAGATGTAGATTAGGTTACGTTTAACGTCTCTCAGTAGATAAAGAGCATAAAACGAAGTGTTTGAAAGTGCAGGACTGGAGTTTAATAAAAGCCAGAAGTTGTGTGATCAAAGGCCCGAGGGCAGCGAGATCAGCTCAGCCTTCATTGAGAGACTACAGCTCGTCCCGCTTCACTGCATACTTGACCTCTGAGCACTAGAGGAAGCACACAGTCTGAGTAAAATCAAAAAACGCCCTCTTGTGTTAATAGTGAAAAAATGCAATACTGCACCATCAATATACTATACATTAAGTATGATTTCAGTCTAGCGTTTGTGTACTCATCAGAAATGTAGTTTTCTAAAGCATAAAAATTCCATCTATTCACAGATATTTAAGAAAGCAAACATGCTTGTTTATTTGAAAAACACTGCTAAAGTCAGTTATTCTTTTTTTAAAAATGTGTTCCGTGTCGGAATGTCCATATTCGTTTTGGTCTCTTTAACCTGTCCACTGCCAGTTTACCTAGTTATATTTTAACAAATAGTCTATTTTATTTCAGTCATGAAAGCTCTCTCAATGTCTGCCGTGGCCAAAAATATGACCTCCAGTGGAGACATTACCAGCCTTCGACGTAGAGAGTTATTATGAGTTATTCAGAATTATCATTATTTCAAAAGTTGTCAATCCTAGATATTCAAATTAAAATTATACTAAGTATGCTTGACTTTTACAGATAAGTTTAAATGTATTTACTTGTACTCTTTTAATCTTTTAGTTGACATTGATAAAACTATTTTTCAGAGTGATCTCTATACTGAGAGTATGGTGGTTCTCTCTTTTAAATTGTCTATCTGCACTATGTATGATCAGAGACAAAAAAAATGAGGACTTGTCAGTTTTATATAGGCTACTCTTTGATGACTTAAAGTGCTTCTTTTATCGTCACTTGTAAGTTGCTTTTAATGAAAGAGTGCTTTTTCTAATCGAGTAAATGTAAATCTAAACTCAAAAAATGATAATATATTTGATTTTTTTTTTTTTTAAAGAACCAAAAGTTATCGTTGCTTTAATTGGCTGATGACTTTTTTAATGTCACATTTAATAGTTTTATTAGCCTACTTATTTATATCTGAATGATTATTTATCAACCAAAATTAATAATGGGCTTTATCGAATCAATTACACCTTTTATTGTCTAGTACGGATTAAAACAAGTATATTTGCAGTATAATTTATAAAATCAGTTGTTTTCTGAAAGTTTGCTTTAAAGGATTCATTCTGAAACATAATAAAATGTGTTTAACTGGTAAACTATCAGTACAACTGCACGTTTATTTGTTAGCTGCTGTAAACAAACAAAAAAAGATGTGTGCTCAAAGTGAACTGTTAGTGTTAGAAGATACAAAGCAGACAAATGTAATTCCAGATATTATTGACAGAGTGCTTTAGTAATTTCTAGTATACTTGTCGATTGATATCAGTTTACCTACTACAATAAAGTATACTAAAAATGATACTCAAGTATACTTTAAATTAACTTCAACTATGCTTTTTTTTTGTAAGGGTATAAGAAAATGACATTCAAACCAAACACAGTTGTTATCATTTGCTCAACCTCATGACTTGAATTGTTCAACTTCAGAACACAATTTACAATATCTTTTTTAAGAGTTATCTGTGCTTTTACTGAAAAGTTGATATTTAACAACATAAAAAAATCCAGAGATCAAAAGCATTAAAATAATAAAAAATAAAAACAAATATACTTTAAGTCAAGTGGTTTAATCAAAGTCTTCTAAAGAGAAAAAAATAAAAATAAAAATCAAGTTGTTTAATCCAGGGCTTCACAGTGGCGCAGTGGGTAGCACGATCGCCTCACAGCAAGAAGATCGCTGATTTGGGCAGGGTCAGTTGGCATTTCTGTGTGGAGTTCGAATGTTCTCCCTGTGTTCGCGTGGGTTTTCTCCGGTTGCTCTGGTTTTTCCCATAGGGAAATGCTATTTTCATTTTGATTTTAACAACTTAACAGACAGCAGAAATGTTGAGGTGTTGTGCTGCATATATGAGCGTCATCTTCACTGTGTGGATATTTATACCAAAACAAAGCCTATAACATTACTGCCTCCTTTCATTTTCATAGAAAATATGAAACATAGCCTCTCTTTTGCTGAATATCAGTTTTAATAATCAATAATAGCCATTATAAAAGTATAGCGTACAATAAGTTAATACATTATAGGAAATAAAGGCAATCAATCAGTCAATATACAGAATGTAGGCTACAATTTTAAAAAGGAGGCTTGGCACTCAACCCCACCCCTAACCCCAACCATCATTGGGTGATGAGCAAATAATACTGAATTGTATGAATTAGATTGTACGAATTCATACGAATTAGCCACTAAATCAAAAAGTTAGAAATTGCTGTCAGATTGCGTTGGATATGCTGCAGCGCATGCCAGAGTGTGAGTGGTCACATGATGTACATATTAGTGGTTTGATGAGAGTTCTTCAGAAACGCTGGGTGAAACGTTAGTGTGGACGTGGATCATTTTCATTCTAAAACGCTGTTTTAAAACTAAAACGTATTAGCGTAAACAGGGCCAGAGAGTGTATGGATGTTTCCCAGAGACTGGTTGCGGCTGCAAGGGCATCTGCTGTGTCAAACATATGCTGGATAAGTTGGCAGTTTATTCTGCTGTATTGACCCCAGATTAATAAAGGGACTAAGCCAAAAAGAAAATGAATGAATGACAATGAAAGTAAATAAAAATCAAGTTGTTAAAACCGCTGCAGGGGGTCCGGTTCGGGGACCACAGGATTTCATCTCTGTTATTCGCAGACAATGTTGTGCTGTTGGCTTCATCGAACATAGACCTTCAGCATGCACTGACGGTTTGCTGCCAAGTGTGACACGGCTGGGTTGAAAATCAGCACCTCCAAGTCCAAGCCCATGGTGCTCCACCGAAAAAAGGTGGTTTGCCATCTCCAGGTTGGAGGAAAATCCTTACCCCAGATGGAGGAGTTCAGGTATCTTGAGGTTTTGTTCAAGAGTAAGGGAAGAATGGAACGTGAGAGATTGACAGGTGGATTGGTGCAGCGTCAGCAGTAATGCGGTTGATGTACCGATCCGTTGTGGTAAAGAAGGAGCTGTACTGAAAGGCAAAGCTCTCAATTTACCGGTCAATCTACGTTCCTACTCTCACCTATGTTCATGAGCTTTTGGTCATGACTGAAAGGACAAGATCTCGGATACAAGCAGCCAAAATGAGTTTCCTTCGCAGGGTGCCAGGGCGCACCTTTATAGGATGAGGAGCTCTGTCACCCGGGAGGAACTCAGCTTATGAGCTTATGTCTTATATTTATAACAGAAGGGCGAGTAAATGTTGGTAATGCAGTTAACCTTTAACAGAGTCTGCTGGGACAGAATGAACCTGATGCCATTTCTGGGATTTTCCAGTCTGTTTATGAGTTGCTATAAGCTGAAAAAATGTGCAACATCCTTTATTATCCCCCACAGGATAAACTGGATTTCAGAGACCCCATTATGGTGACGCTGGAATTCGGTCTAGCGGATGAAGACAAGGGTCCAGTTTTGGATGGAGAATTACCCACATCCCTCAACAAGACTGTAAGTTTTCCTCCTGCTAGAGGTTTATTAGTGTAACGTTGACTGCGCCAGTAACTGTGTCTGCTTATTAACAGAAGAGTGTGTGTGGGTGGCAGCTGCGAGTTTAATGAAGTCGCTCTAATTTTACAAGCACTGAGAGACTTTCTCCATGTTCAGCTGCTCTCTCACATGCAGTTGTATTGAGGTTTTAACTAGCAGAAACAGGGATGGGCTGGCATAGAGAATGGCATGACTTCCCCTAAATGAACCCAGTGGATTGTTGGCCAAATGTAGTTTCCTTTTTTATTTGATATTTTTGATGAATTAATTATGCGTGATTACAAAAACAGTGATTTTTTTGACGTTCAACATTTAAAGATGGTTCTGTTTTGCTTCTTAACAGTAAAATACAAATATTCGAATGTGAAGGAATCTGCACAACTTCATTTTGAGTAGCTTTTTGACAACTTACAAAGTTTAATTCTGTAGAAAAATAGATAACATCTTAGCAGAAAATTAGCAGGGCATTTCTAAAAAAAATGAAAACACAACAAAAAGCAAAGCAGGATTAAAAATTCAGGTATAAACAATATGTTTTATGTACACCGCATAAAAATCAGATGTCACGAAACACTAACATGGTGCAGGTAATCATATCAACTTCGAAATAAATAGCCCTGTGAGTAAGTCAATTTTCTCTTATTTATTTGTGCTCACTGTGATATGGGAAAATGTCAGGAGTTATGTGTTTTTATTAAAATATATTTTGAATTTCCAAATGAAAATACATATAAAACTTGCATTTATAACTTGCATAATACAGAAAGAGACTTATAGATCTTGCATATGCTTTGTATTATCTTCCCTTTAACAACAACAACTATTAACAGTTGGACATAAACAGGGGAGCTACAAATCGTTTAGATGATTGCCTTTAAAGAAGAAAAAAATATATATTTAGACATAATATTACATTTAAAAGTTACAATTCAAAAAAATACGGGCATATTGATAAAATATACTCAATCCATTTACTCCAAATTAGAAAGAATTATTCAGTCCAATATTTTCTAATTAAAAAAAAAAAAAGTTTAATATTTTTTTTAGTGTGGAAAAAAATTAATGAATATTTGAGACATTGAAATCTATTTTTCTGGGTTCACAAAAACTTTTTTGGACTTACTGTAATTTATATAATAGAATTATATTTAATAAAAAAATTATATAAATATTTATATTTAAATATTTTATTTTACATTTTCCATATAAAAAATTTATTATTATTATTATTATTATTATTAATGTTATTATTATTATTATTATTATTATTATTATTATTATTATGTTGCATTCTCAATAAATCTAGTGATTAATCTCACAAAATCTGACCAGCTTTAGGCCAAATGCAATATTAATAAAGTGAATTGAATTAAAAATAAATATTTATATTTGCACAAATTCAATATACACTGTAAAAATGTCTGTAAATGGACAGTTTTTCGTATTTGTGATTAGTGTTTTTATTTTCTAGTTATTTATGCATTTATAATTGCATTATAAGACATTGATTTTTCCTCCGAAAGCTTTTAAAGTTGAAAAGTTTGAAAAAATACTTTTATTGACATTTTTACTAGTTCAAAGTGATATATCGTCAGGGTTGGTGTTGTAAATAACCTGGAAATAAGCTGCCAGTAGATATTCTGTTATTTTACAGACTCATTTCTCTATATATTTTTTCTTAAACTAAAAAATGTCAAAAAAAGTCACTTTGTTAAACTGTAGAGTTGAATTTTCAACATCAAAAGTGGACAGAACAGAGGTCAACATCCCATAATGCAATTCACAACTGTAAATAAACAGTTCTGAACCACAAAAAAAATGGGACCAGTTAATTAACAGACATTTTTTTACAGTGTATACACCAAGTATAGGAAACCGTTAAGTGTTTTTAGGACATAAGAGCAAGTAATAAAATATAGGCTTGCCTATATCATTGCACTCGTGTCACAGCAGCTTTCCAAAATCAGATTTTAGGGAAAAAAAATGTAGCCTATCATATATTTGTTAAAAGTAGTGTTACAACTTGAAAATAAATTGTGATGAGCCTACAAAACAAGTAGTTTGTAAAGTTTTATGTCTTTCTGTTGTATTCACGTGTGAATACAAATATATATTATCTCCAAAATAGGCTGGAAATTTTATTTATGTAGGCTAGAAAGACACTCATCGCATTGATGGAGCTGTGAATCAAGCGTTCTTTTACCCGGTCTCTCACACACAAACACATGCATCTAAACACGCACATTTCATGCACAAACACAGCTTTTAAATAAGACAAAAACTCTCTACAACTGAAAGTTTCTGGCTGCTATGTCTCTAATGTGGTGTAAAGATTATTATTCATTATTGAATCATCAAGGACGATGCAGCAAAGAAATGTCACTTACTAAATTATTAAAACTACTTTATTATTTTATGCAACACCTTTACATTTAAAAAGGAAACATTCAAAAACAAAAGGCCAATCTAAAGCAATAAAAGGGACCCCTAGCCTATAAGATGTTTTGGGGAATATCTTAAACTAACCAGTAGCTAATTAAAACTTTGACATACAGTACTTAATATAAAATAATATATATATATTTTTAAACTTTTTTGTGCAGCCTAAATGATACATACTGTAGCATAGAAGAAAACACATTTCAGTTTCCAGCAGAGTAAAATAAGTCCAGTTATACTGCCAATTCATCCAAAATGGGAGTTTGCTCCTATAATCTAATCCTAAAGCACAACACAAACTAAAGAAGTAGAGTTATCAGGAGGAAGAGTGTGTTTTCCTGCTGGCATCAGTTGTGTTTGCCAATTCTGCTTTATGAAGTTCTGTTGTTTCATAAAAGCTCTCAAGACGCAAAACAATTCCTGACAAAAATATTTGCGGGAAGCATTTGGCTTGATGTGTGTTGCAATTAAATGACATTGTTGGGAAAGGGTGTAAAACAACCGCTAATACTGTACAGCAGGCAGGAAAATATGTCAGACTAACATTTTTTTGGCAATAAACTTAAAAGACAAATCTGCTTTTCGAAGCTTATTTGACAATGTTTAATGAATATATCTTTTTTTCTTTAGATCGCATTAGTGGACTGTGGAAGTAATGAGAAGTGTGTTGCTAATCTACACCTACAAGCTTCTGCGAACATCTCAAGGTATTATTTAATGTTTAATCAATCTTTGATTTCCAATGAAAGAATGCCTTTAGGATTTTAATCAATATTTGATATAATTCTTAAAGATTCAATGACAATACAAATAATTATGGCCAGACTTTATCCTGGTGGCTGCTGTATTATTCATGAAGAAAATGTTTGATAATGTCTTCTAGTCATTTGTGTGATTTCCAGTGCTTTGCTGCCCCCTTCTGTCGAATTTTGTGTTCAAGTCGTTCTAGTCTGTATGTCATGAGAGAAATATAACAGAAGTGAACCAGAGAGCTAAATGTTAACTCATGTTCTCGATTTTATATTTTTGAATTGTTACAGTCTTCTCATAAAGAGTAACCAGGAGAAATTTTATGTCAATATCGACATCAAGAACACTGGAGACAACGCTTATAATACCAAAGTTACACTGAGCCACACTGAAAATATCAACTATGTCAAAGTGGAGGTAAGAAGAATTTAGAGAACATTTGAATCTTTTCTCTTTTTTTTCAGGGTCTAACAGTTTTTTAATTCCTGTTTTCACTTTTTTTCAGCCTAAAGATAAGGACTGTGAAACTAATCATACCAGAATAGTGTGTGCAGTTGGATATCCTTTCCTTAAAACTAAGGACAGGGTGAGATTAGCTTTGCTACTAAAAGGATTGTTCACACAAAAATGAATGTTTACTGTTAGTTTACTAACTCTCAGGCCATCAAAGTTGACTTTATTCTTCAGTTGAATATTAAAGAAGCGTTTTAGATAAAACCAATGTCCTTGGCAATTCAAAAAACATGGAAGTCATACTAGCCAGCAGGGACTTTAAGATTCAAAAAATATATAGAGAAAAAATGACTTAATATCTGTGACTACTGACAATACATTGAGTTTTTTTGAAGCAAAATGATCAGTCTGATGTTATTATTAACTTGCTATCAAATTGTGGTGGTTTACTCGCCAAAGACCATAATATTTGAGCTAAAAAATTACTTCAATAAAAAAAAGTCACACATATCTTGGAAGGCATGAGGATTAAACAGCAAGTTATTAATTAAATAAAAAATATATATATACAATTAATTAAAAATAACATGCATTACCACATCTAATCTGCTTTTCTTAACACTCGTTTCATGCCAATTTAACAGGAAACCTTCAAAATCCAGTTTGAGCCCAATCCCTCTCTTATCCGAAAGGACATTGTTATTAATGTGACTGCTACCACGTAAGTACTGCGTTCATGTCTAAAATATCTTTTTTCATGTACTTGATTTACTAGATTAAATGAATAAGGTGATATTCTGACCAATTGTTAATATTTTCCTGGCAGTGATAGTGAGCAGTCAGATTCAGCGCTGAAACGTAACTTTGAGACCATCATCATCCCAGTGAGGCATGAAGCCAGCATGAGATTCACTGCGTAAGTTCCTAATAAATGGATTTAGTTCATTCACTGATTTATTTGTTTTTATTAGTATAATTATTTTATACTGATTAGAATTGTATTCAGTTTGACATTATAGCCAGTTCATTTTGAAATGTATTTGCAGCATTTGTATGCCAAGATTAAGTAAAAACAAATAATAATTATAATTTACGCGTTATAAATACTGCACACATGATACAATTTTGTGGTAAAACTTTACAGTGGCCTTTGTTATTAAGATTATTCAGACATTTTAATTATTAACTAACAATGAAAAATACATCTATACTCAAAAATGTTTGAATGAACCCTTAACCCTTTATCATGCATCATAACCACCTGGTTGACCTTTTATGCATAGTTCATTATTATTTTAATTGCTTATTACTATTTATCAGAGTTGTGCAACATTGTTATAATAATTTGGGATTAACTAGTTATTACTCGTTTTTATATTTTGAAATTGCTTAGTTTTAGTTTAGTTTTTATTAGTTTCAGTTTTAGTTTTTTTTTTCCTTCATAAATTAGAATATGTGTCAGGTGCAAAATTCAAAATCATCAGAATATTGTATAATAACTCAACCAAAGATGTATTTTTGAAACCTGTATTCAGAGGACACATGAACACTACCATCTACCCATCCGCAAATTTAAATACAACAGCCCACAAGATGCTATTCAATATGTGTGCAAGGCTGCTTCTGTGGTTAGATACACTGTAAGGATGGAAAGTACAGATTTTTTTTCCATGAACCAGATCTTTAATGTGTATCAAAAATATGTAGTCAGCAATAGGATTGGGCCAATAGACGAAACTATCGTCCATCGCCAATGGCCAATAGACAACACGATGCTGAGCCGGCATCGCGATCCATCGCCCCGCCCCCTTCGCAAACCCGCTTGCGACCCGCCCCGCATTTAAAATGTCACCATGATCCAGTTATTTTTGTTCTATAGAGAGCCATCTTTTTTCCTTTTGGTTTTTATTTTGTTTTTTTGGGGGGTTGTGCAGTTTAATTCAAACAGCAGACTTTTTTGTCACATCTGTAACGCATGTTTATTTTCCTTATTTGAAGTACAAAACATGTTTACAGATTAATATTTTTCTGATCCTGTAACTTTGTGGTCAGTTGTTCTGAAAAATATAAACAAAAGTTTCAATATAATGTTAACATATACTCTCTTTGCAAATTTATGTTTTGAGTTTGTACTGCAAATGTCACATCCATAACGCTGGAATTGCTCACATATATATTCATTTTCATGGGGAATGAACCCTTGAACCGTTAACAAACAAGAACTTATTGTGAACCAGGCCTGGATTGGCTAATCGGGAGGACCGGGAGTATTCACGGTGGGCGGGTCCGTTTTTTTGACAACGAGGGCCTATGCTACAGTACCTTCTCAGAATGTGCTATCAGTAGCTTAATCTGTCATGTTTCATCTACCAAAACAGGGTTAGCACATCTTGTTAGCTTCAAATGTCTATCAGAATGAACTACCACGTTAAATAAGGATGTAAAAATAGGGGTAGCCCATTTTGTCAGCTTCAAATATCTATCAAAATTAACTACTGCTCTATTGAACAATGTAGAAAAAGGCGTAGCAGCTTCATATGTCTATTAGAGTAAACTACTGCTTTAATTTAAGTTTTTTTATTTCATTACTTTTATATTTAATTTGTTTTTAAGGTAGCAGTTCATTCTGATTGACATTTGAAGCTGACAAAATGCGCTACCCCGTTTTACACCCTTATTTAAGGTGGTAGTTCATTTGGATAGACATTTGAAGCTGACAACATTTTAGCACAGAATATATATTCAGATATTGCAGAAAAGGAAATTGTGATGTTTTAAAATAGTGTTGGAGATTTACCCTTTAATGTTCTTATATTTAAAAAAAAAATATTTGAAGTCATAAAGCAGTTGTTTCCTTGAAAAAGGTTGATAGTGTCATAAGAAAATTCAATACATTTAATTTGAATCTTACTTTTTTTATATTTACAGTAGCTTAATATATATTTGTATTTATTTGATATTTTTTCATTTTAAGGTTTGGATATTTATGAGCACTGATTTTTACAGAAAGTAGATTGTGAAACTGTTAAACATTACGTTGTGTTAACTGTTCAAATACATCTTTATTGAAGTACTGAATTGGAAATTATGTTATTTTAATTTAGTCATGAACTGAAGTGGGCCGGTCTAAAGCTTGAAACTCTAGGGCTGAAAAGAAGTCCCACTCCAACCCTGTTGTAAACTGTTACTGATTATCGATATATATTTTTTATCCTAGTAACAAATATATGAAGGAGGACCACATCATACTGAAAGAAAAGGAGACGATACCCAGTGTTTTCAACCACACCAGTGTGATTGGGGATGAAGTAAAAATCAGCTACACGGTAAGACTGATAACCTTAACCTGGAGTTTGAATCACTTCCTTCAGGTCCTCCAGACTATCATGTGGGCAGAAGAGAGCACAATGAGGAACTGCTGAACTGAACTGTCTATGTTTGAATGACTAGTTTGAAATCTAAAATGAGATACTGCATTGGCAAGGAGTCATCTTGGGGTTTGATGGAGTCTGATATCAATGGTAAAAATGACTTGTAAGGCCTAGAGTTATCTATTTTGTGTTTTTAAAAGTACATATGCTGCACCGTAGATCTGTGTTTTCACAGTTAAAGAGTATTTTTTAACAATTAAAGTGACAGTTTAGTAAAAAATAAAAATTACTCACACATTTACTCAAACTCGAGTACTTTCTTTTGTTGCACACAAAGGACGATTCAATGACTACGTTTACATGAAAATCAGTGATCAAATAATTTGCCTTAATCTTAGACCCCGTTTACACTAATGCATTTTAGTTTGAAAACGCATAAGTTTTGCTACGGTTACGCCAACCGTCCACACTACGCCGGAGTTCTCGAGCGCCAAAAACGGAGCGTTTCGAAAACGCTGGAGAGGCCGTTTTCATTCTGAAACGCTGCTGCTCCGTCTCAGTGTGGATGATGGAAAACGGAGACATCTGAAAACGGAGGCGGGGCTGCTGACATTCGCCTCTCTGATTGGGCTTTTCCTGAATATTAAGTAGCCTAACACACACAGTTCAGTCCTGCATTTTCTCCGTGTAAGTTCAGACTTCGCATGTTTGATCAAGGCTGCAGTCTCTTCTTCTCAGTTTGATATGGAAAACAGACTATACCGAGGACACGGGTAAATCTTCAAAGGGAACAGTGTACTTTATAACTTCATTCACATCACCCTGGCTACGTTGTTTCACTTTCTCAACAATAAATTGTATACATGATTTAAGGAACTGCCTATTTTTATTTTAATATTAACAACTAAACAGACAGCAGAAATGTTGAGGCGCCGTGCTGCATGAGCGTCATCTTCACTGTGTGGATATTTATAACAAAACGGAGCCTATAACAACTGCCTCCTTTCAATTTCAGTGAAAATACGAAACACACCCTCTCTTTTGCTGAATATCAGTTTTAATAATCGATAATGGCCATTATAAATGTATAACATACAATAAGTTTTTACATTATAGGAAATGAAGGCAAGCGATCAGTCAATATACATAATAGGCTACGTGGTTTCATCAATCATTAACTTATCTTTGCGCTCAGCCAAAACACGTTACCTGAAAAAAAGTAAGATTCTAATGACCAAAGTCAGGGAATATGTCGTTAGATAAAGACAACAAGATGAATGAAATATCCAGTTTAATAAATATAGTGAGATTAGATCCAGCGGTAGATGCTTGATGAGAAGTCCGACTAGCAGAGCTCTCATCTGGGTAGATGAGCTGCAGCGCTTGCCAGAGAGTGTCTGTGTGGTCACGTGATGTGCGTTTTCAGCGTTTGGTGTGGACGGAGAGCAGTTCAGAAACGCTGGGTAAAACGCGAGTGTGGACGCGGATCGTTTTCATTCTAAAACGCCGTTTTAAAACTAAAACGCACTAGTGTAAACGGGGCCTTAGTAAGACAATAAAATGATTAAGATGTTTACATGAGTTCATGATCTGGTTTTACATGTTATTGCACATCATTTGATTAGCATCACTGCGACACCATGCTATCCACATTTCCTCCAGAGTTAAATTTTAATTTGTCAACTTTAACTGCAGTTTGGCACTTTCAATTTCATTCAGGAACAGTTCATGCAATCCCCCCATGTCAAATGAGATATTTGATGCAAATTTGAACAGCTGAAAGAGTTTTTATTGGAATTTGATACCACACGTCGTATGGGAGAAAAAACTCAGCATTTTGTGTTGCTGGTGTCTGTGATCATTTACTGACTCGTTAGGTGCAGAGAAATATGTCTAACAGACGCGTGTATGGATTATCCTGTCGTAAAATGTGGCGAAAATCCTACACGGCATGATAATAGTTTGACTGCATTCATTTACTTCTGTACTGCACTTCAAAAATAGGACTATAATCAGCATTGTCCTCCAGTTAATTCGATTTCTATTTAGTTCGATTATGACTTCAGTCAGATTAAGCAAATCAAATAAATTGCTGTTTACATGGTAGACTAATTAGAGAATTGTCTTAATCTATTAAAATCAGATTACTGGTGTCCATGTAAACATATTAGATACAGGAACAGCCACTGAAATCCATAGAAAGAACAAAAATACTATGGAAGTCAATGCTTGGTTTTTTATCATTGTTCAGTATAAGAAAGAAAATAAAGAAAAGCGGTTTGACATTTATAGTGATAATTATCGACATTTTAAGAATATATAAGAAATATCACGCAGCCACAAACCAGACTGACAAAAATACTTAATAAAACCAGATTTTAATTAGATAGATGGATGGATGGATGGATGGATGGATGGATGGATGGATGGATGGATGGATGGATGGATGGATGGATGGATGGATGGATGGATGGATGGATGGATGGATGGATGGATGGATTGATTGATTGATTGATTGATTGATTGATTGATTGTGTTTAACAGATTGAGAAAGACCCTGACATGCCGAGTCCTCCAGTAAAGCTTACAATAATGTTTCCATATCAAACGTCTGCTAAAAACTTTCTGCTGTACCTGACAGATCTCAGCTACACAGCGGTAGGTGATTCCTCAAAACTATAACCACAATGACTGTATGACTGCTTTAGAAATATCTCAATTGTCCCATTTGGACACTTATAGGGCATTCGATGTTCCGCCGACTGGATTAACCCTTTGAAGATTCAACCTAGCAAACCACATTCACTGAACACAAAAAAAGAGACCCTGAGCATCTATCTTTTGGTGAGTAACCACTGCTTTTTTGATATGCGCATAGACATATGTTTACCAGCTGTCCTGTATTGGCCCACATGTCCTATATATTGTGCCTAATTTATTCATCATCTTGCTTTCCCTGTTTACTTGCAGTAGTTCTTAACTGATCTAACCATAAAACATATCATACTTCCACAGATTGTACAGTACAGATTTTATTATGATAACTTGATCTCAGTTCTCTGTGCAATTAGCAGGATATACAGTATGTTCATTTGATTCTTGAAACAAATTTTATAATCTAAAGCTTAAGCAAACTAGACTATCATTATTTGGTTAAAAGAGAAAAATGCATGAACATGAAACATAAATTGGTGTCTATGACAAACTGAGCAGCTCAATGATGCTATATATACTGGAAGGAAATTCTAAATATTGATTTGGAGGGGAATTTTTAAGAACCTATAGTTTGAGGGAAACTAGCTGTCTTCGGTTTATATAGTATTTTATTTTTAGATTATCTCCGCATAGTAAATGCTTTGTTTTTAGCATTATAGGAATAGTATTTACTAGGGGCTGCACAATATATTGTTGCAGCATCAATATTGCAATGTGTGCATTGACAATAGTCACATCACAATGTGGAGTTAGGATTATTATACTGGAGTTGATCCGCAATACAGAATGTACAGTGTTATTTTACATATTACATTGCATTTTATTATTCAACAATAGGGGCAGGACAAAATATTGATGCTGATTTATTGTGATAATTCCACCCGGGATGCATTATTGATGTAGCCAAGTATCAAAAGATCTGAACTAATTCATCAGCCTTGCACTGCTACCCTTTACCACTACGGTGACTATTTGAGGTGGTGCTTCTCATAATATCGGATCGAACACATATTAGTTTTGCAATTCTAAAAAACATATGTGCTATTAACAAAATACATCTTATACATTTTGATGAAGTTTTATGCCTTTGTTTAAAAATATGATATATTGGGGATGGTTTTCTTGTGATATATCGCTGATTTTGTAATCCAGGGGTGTTCAAACTGGTCCTGGAGGGCCGGTGTCCTGCAGATTTTAGCTCCAACTTACCTTAACACACCTGCAATGATGTTTCTAGAGAGCCTAGTAAGAGCTTAATTAGCTAGCCCAGGTGTGTCTGATTGGGGCTGGAACTAAACTTTGCAGGACACTGGCCCTCCAGGACCGAGTTTGGACATGCCTGTTGTAATCTATCATAATCGAGGCAAAATATAATGATAATAACGTATTGTATCATATTACTGTTCCTGAATATCTGACTTGCTTTACTTTTATCTTTATCTTACTTATTTACTCTTGGAATTTCTTTGATTCACTCATTTTAATTCATTGATTCATTCAATTCATTTAATTCATTCCAATCAATCCAAGTTAATGATTTCATTCCACATAGAGCTATTCAAGTCTTCTGCCGAAATTGTATTCATATGGCAATACATATTGCTTAAAAAAAATTATTGCAATGATGTTGTTTTTTCAGTATCGTGCAGCCCTAGTATTTACTCAGCCTTGATTGCTTCCTTTATAAGTTTCTTTAAAGAAGATATTATGAAATGAAATGACTGCTGAAAACCTGTAACCATTGACATCCATAGTAGGAAAAACAAAAGCTTTGATAGTCAATGGTTGCAGGTTTTCATCTTTATTCAAAATATCTTTTTTGTGTTCAGTTCATTATGTTTTTACTTTATATAATAAAATTAAGGGGAGTCACGTTGGCGCAGTGGGTAGCACCATTACCTCACAGCAATAAGGTCACTGGTTCGAGTCCCAGCTGGGTCAGCTGGCATTTCTGTTTGGAGAACGTTCTCCCCGTGTTTGCGTAGGTTTCCTCCGAGTGCTCCGGACATATGGTAAAGGTGAAATTATTAATTCATTCATTTTCTTGTCGGTCTAGTCCCTTTATTAATCCGGGGTCGCCACAGAGGAATGAACCGCCAACTTATCCAGCACGTTTTTACGCAGCGGATGCCCTTCCAGCCGCGACCCATCACTGGGAAAGTATAGGTGAATTAAACAAGCTAAATTGTCCGTAGTGTGTGTCTGTGAATGCAAGAGTGTATGGGTGCTTCCCAGTGCTGGGTTGCGCCAGGAAGAGCATCTGCGTAAAACACATGCTGAATAAGTTGGTGGTTCATTCGACTGTAGCGACCCCTGATTAATAAAGGGACTTGGCTGAAAAGAAAATTAAATGAATAATCTAATTAAAATCTCTACCTGCCCACGTTAGTGTACGTAGCATCTTTGATTGGTCTGTGATCAACCCTGTGATTAGCACTCATTTAAATACTTGAAGGAAAATCTCTGGAGTGTGACTGGGGGTTATTACAGGACTTTTGAGCTTTTATGCCTTATATTATATTGTAATGAACATTAATAAAGTTACTGGTTCTTTGCCCCAATTAAATGATTAAGTTGTAGTGTTTGCTTCCATTTTAATCACTCCAGATAATTCAGTTTGTAAAAAGCAAATAAACATTGTTGTTAAAAAGATCTGTCATCAGTAAAAAATAAAAAAAAAGTGAATCAGCTATAAAACATCAAGATCAATGCATATTATGCCGCATGGAATTTTCACTTTTGGCCCTACTTTAATTGTGACAAAGCTGAGAATCCTAGTAAATTTGTGAAATTGATACCTGATGATCTATAACTCTCTCTTTCAGAGTTGTAAAGAAAAAGAAAATCCCTGCCAGTCCTTTAGCTGCTTCATTCCTTCTGGAGACTTCAACCAGATCAACACCACTTTCAGACTGTGGCGGCCCACCTTTATTAAAGTACACTTTTCTACATGATTGTGTTCTTTTACAGTTCTGCCACGTGTGATCTGTTAGTAATGCACATTTTCTTATCTAAAAAAATATTCCTCTATAGGGAGAATTTTCCACCATTCACATGGCAGTTGATGCCAAGCTGGAGACCCAGAACACAGACTTGTTTGTGTTAAATGAAAACATCAAAACCAGAGAGGTAAGAAAGCAATAATTCAAACAATCCTTCATTAAATTCACGACCATTAAAATTAAAACTGCAACTGGTACAGTTAAAACCATCATATATTTAAAAGTGCTATAAAGGATTATTTTTTCCACACATAAAATGTCTCTTGTACCAGACAAGTGCCCGACCTGTAAATGTCATGTGGTTAATCCATCTGAATCACCCTAAAATGATGTCATGACAAGAGTGGCACACCCTTCACTATTGACTATTCTGAGTTGTAGGGCACAGACAGGAAAAAACAGGTTACTGTAGTTACTGTATACTAAAACCATAATTATGTAGTGTTATGGCTGAGTATATATACTGTATATGTACTCATGGGCCACTTTATTAAGTACTACTAGTATCAGGTTGGACCCTCTTTTGCCTTCAGAATTGCCTTAATCCTTCGTGGCAGAGATTCAACAAGGTAATGGAAAATTCCTCCGAGATTTTGGTCCATATTGACATGATAGCATCACGCAGTTGCTGCAGATTTGTCAGCTGCACATTCATGATGCAAATCTCCCATTCCAATACCATCCCAAAGGTGCTCTATTGGGTTGAGATCTAGTGTCTGAGGAGGCCATTTGAGTACAGTGAACTTATTTTCTTGTTCAAGAAACAGTGAACAATGATTCACGCTTTATGACATGGTGCGTTATCCTACTGGAAGTAGCCATCAGAAGATGGGTACACTGTGGTCATAAAGAAATGGACATGGTCAGCTACAATACTCAGCTAGGCTGTGACGTTGACACGATGCCCAATTGGTACTAATGGGCCCAAAGTGTGCCAAGAAAATATCTTCCACACCATTACACCACCAGCCTGATCCGTTGATACAAGGCAGGATGGATCCATGTTTTTTTATGTTGTTGCTGCAAATTCTAACCCTACCATCCAGCTGTACCTAATAAAGTGACCAGTGAGTGTGTGTATGTATATATATCAGATCATATCAGATGTACATAACATTATTACCAACTTTTTTCTGATTTTAAAGGTTTACCTAAATAAGCATTTCAAGAGCCCACTTAGATATGTTTAGCATTCTGTCCCAGGAGAGAACCCGGAGCTCGGAGATACTTGACCCCAAGGCTCCCGCCCAGTCAATAAGCATATAAGGGGATGCAAGATCAGTTAGGTCTCGAGAGTTCCCCCTCACAAAAGGGAGTAAAAGGAGGAGATAGTGTGGAAGGGTGGATTCTTCCAAAACGAAGATAGAGCAGTAGGGAGAAAACAATCCATTTATAGGAAGCTTGGATCACTCAGATTGGATTATTACTAATTACAGATGAGAAGCCAGTCTTGCTCAATCCTATCACATGCTCCTCTTTAAATTAGTTTGTAAACTGCACTAGATGACACAAAAAGTTATCTAAATGAAAAGCAAAATTAGCATGCTTCTTTAAAAATCTAATCTAATGTATGTAATGTAACTGTTAAAATATTTAAGAGTAAAGTTGATTTAAGAAAGGTGATTAGTTTTATTTTGCTCACTACTGTAGACATCAGTGTTAATATCTGAACTATAATCTGTAATTAGCCATTTTTCTCATCCTACATTTGTGATAATCATTTCTGTATCACAATACAGAAGACCTTGGTAGCTCTTTAGTATAGGGACCAATTCTGAATACTGGTTTATTACAGCACCTGCCTATTATTAAGATTGACTGTTTATTAGTACTTAAAAAGTACATATCCTGCTTAATTTTATTCTACATCCCTAATCTTACCCATTACCTAAACCGAACTACTACCTTATTAACTATTATTAAGCAGCAAAATAGGAGTTTACTGTACTAAAGTTTATAGTGAATGGTTTGTTAGTGGCGATATTTGTATCTTAAGATAAAGTTTGAACAAGATCTTAATTTTTCCAAATAAAAGTCAATAATAAAGGATTTATTTTGTCAGGTTGTACAGCAAAATAGTTTGAAATTACAACTTGGACTCCTTAGTAATTTTCACAATTGTGATGAGTGTTGCATTTATTATGCAGGTAAGGATTCAAGTCACCAAAGACATACGAACTGGAATCCCACTGTGGATTATTATCCTTAGTATTCTAATAGGACTTTTAATACTGGCACTTGTTATCTTCGCTTTATGGAAGGTAAGTAGTGATGTTTACCTTAAGCTTACTTGCTTTAACACACCAATGCCCTTTTTCACCTGGTATTATTAATGTTAACCTTGTTAAAAGGCTATCAACTGAGCAAGTGAATAAAAAAAACAATATGTAGGTGGTAATGATGTAATTCTACCAAATAAAACCTTAACTTAATTAAACTTCTCACAACATCTTTTATAACGATCATGTTTTCAGTCAATCAGTGTGGAGTACTGTAGATGATCTTTTGTCGGTTTGAACACATTTGACCACATGAACATTTACAATTCAAAACCAATTTGATCAAATGCCATTTTTAACTTCTGTACCTCTGAAAGTGGTCAAAAGTGGACAATTTCACCTGTAATTAAAGTGTCACCCACTTGTGATTAAAAACTCAACACCAGGTGTAAACAGGGCCCAAGTTGCGTAAGGGTGTTAAATATTGTTGTTTGTTCTCCTCAGGCTGGATTCTTCAAGAGAAAATCAGTTGAAGAAATGAATGAAGATAAAAAAGACACTGACTGAAGCCTGCGTCTCTGTAGCCTCCACCCCTCAGGTCAGCTTATTCTACACTGCTAAATCGAGATCACTAGAAATATAAAGATCAGACTCATGTAGGACATCTGGGTTCACAAACAGCATACTGCAGAGCATACCAAAGAGAAGAGCTTGACACTTTGATTTATCGTCATGTGCACACTGCAAAATTCAACTGAATGTGAACTCAAGTGAACCTCTGAGACGCCACAAGATTGGTGGACATTTTGCCAAACCACGAAAGTCAAGCTTTGAAGAGCAAAGGTTCATCTAGCCTGAACTCAGCATCCCACCAGCCGCGGACCCTCATCTAAAACCTCCCTACGGCATTCATCATCAGCATAGAGAGGATCAGGAACCTGTCCTGGCAATGTCTAAACAGTAATCTACAGTGCTGTAATCACAACCATGCAGTCCTATTGGCAGTAGGTTTATAAATGGAGCTCTTTTTCAATAACTCACTTTTAGAGCTTGTTTTGATTAAGCGCTGTGTAGTGGTGTTTTTCAGTTTAGGTATTTGTTTTATTTGTGCATTCCTTTTTGTTCACAAAGCAACTTTTGGAACTGATGTTTTTTACGCTTTTGGACCTCACAAATGAAGAGGAAAAGATCTGTACTGTAAATCTAAAGCTTTAAAGTGTATATAAAGTTATGTTTCTGATTTCACTTTAAATGATAATTTAATGGCTTTATCGTCAGTATAATACCTTTCCTGTTTTCTGAGGTGCAAAGCATCTTCATGCTTGCAGTGTTTCTCAGGTATTCCAGATGGGTTGCAGCGAATGTCTGGAAACATAAAAAAAAATGCCTTCAATTTTTTCTTGTTTAGTATTCGCCATATGTAAATATTAGAAACAATTACTTGACTAAACAAGAAAAAAAGCTTTATTGTGTAATTTATGCACCACTAGCAGCACCAGGCTAAAAAAAATGATGACTGTTTTAAAAATGATTTCAAAACATTCTCCTATTGGTTGACTGCTCCACCCTAAACACATGCTATTGGTGGAGTCAGTGTTGCTGGGCTGTTTAGGAAGCTGAAAATAGTTTACAAAATAAACAATAATTCAATTCAATTCACCTTTATTTGCACAGCGCTTTTACAATTCAGATTGTGTCAAAGCAGCTTCACATAAATGGTCATGGTAAATTGGAACATGTAGTTCAGTTTTTAGTGTTTAAGTTCAGTTCAGTTTAGCTCAGTTCAGTGTGGTTTAATAATCACAACTGAGGGTCCAAACACTGGAGAGCAATCCATCGATGCCCAGCTCTACCAATCCCAAACCATGTAAGCTAGTGGCGACAGCGGAGAGAAAAAAAAACCCGTCACCAATTGGCGAAAGTGAAGAAAAAAAACCTTGACAGAAATCAGACTCAGTTGGGCATGACCATTTTATTTCTCCGCTGGCCAAACGTCTTGTGCAGAGCTGCAGTCTCTGTGGCGGAGGCTGGAAGCTGAGCCTCAGCAAAGACTCGTCTGTCCCTGGAGCTTCACAGGAATTAGTCTCATGCTCTCCACTCCTCCATGACTAATAATAATAATGACTGTTTTCAAACAGGGATCCTATGTGCTGTCCTATTGGCCAACTGGCCTGCCCTGAATTCACAATCGATTGAGTAAGCGTCACTTTTGCTGAGCTGCCTACAAAGCTTAAACAAAAAGAGCAATGATTTAAAATGAACTCAGAGTTTATACTTTTAAAAAATGAATCTACAAATGATTTAAAGTGACTCTTTATATTAAGATAAAACTGAAGTATTTTTGCAATAAAACATGACACACTTTAGCTTTAAATAAATATATATATATATATATATATATATATAGTTAATTATCCAAATGCAAAACATGAGACAGTACAGTCTGAGTGCCTTATTGTACAATGCACTGGGCCATTGAGCAGGAAGAAGAATGGTTCAGTATTATTTGCATTTTTTAGGCCACTGATTAAGCATGTGAAACCAAAACCAATATTAGCTATGTTGCTATGCAGTTATCGTTTAATTTCAGGGCTTGTTTCTTTTCAAAAATGGTAAAATTATATCGCAAGCATTCTATAAGCATATTAAATCATTGCGGTTTATGTTTTTAGGTAATTTGTAGGCCGATTACTGGAATCAGAATTGGCATTTGGTTTTAAATAAAATGTGTTTGTTGTAATGATATTGCCATTTTTTGCTTTTTCAACTGATAGTTGAGTTGAACACTCATTCATTGGCAAATACAAATATTTTATTAAAAGAAAACAATGGATGCAAAGATGTGAATGGTGAAAAAAGGGGCTTTATTTCATTTTCACACGGTACTGCCTTATGGTGTGTAGAATTTTATTTTATAATTGACATTTCAACAAGATAGAATTTTCCCTTTTGTTAATTTGCTATGTGGGTTCAAAAAGGCGTTCACAGATACACTGTTATTTTGTTTTTGTATCATGTAGTCACTTTTTTCTTACAGACTGAATGAGATGTCAACCATAATTCTATTGTATATAACGTCACAATCAACAGCATTTATTCAAACACGTAAAGTTAGATGTTTTATGTAAATTTGAATAACCAAGCCTCTCTCATTCTCTCAGATAGAGACCCTTGGTCTTGTGCACCTGTCAGACACTCTGCTGTGAAATTTCTATGTAATGCACTGGTTGTCAAATTGTACATACTTTTTCAGCACGGATTTAAAAAGCCTTGCACATATTGTCAAGAAAATGTGTCCAGAAAAAAACAAATAAAGGCTTATTTTGTAATTTAGACACTTCAAGACACATATTTGTCTGTGTTTGTATGTGTACAGTACAGCAGGAAATAATTCTATGTATCATTACAATCAGAATTGTTTATTTTTAAATAGCTCCAATATAAGCCAAAGCAGAACAGTTGCACATACTGTTTGGTATCTCCTGTTTATATATATATATATATATATATTTTTTTTTTTTTTTTATTATTACAGAAGCAAATCCTGATATTTTTAATTACTTTTTGTGTTGCCAGGTCCATTTATTATAAGTGGTTACAATCAAGTTCATTGAGTTATTGGTGTGGGCAGATGTGTGTACTGAAACATTTGTATTATTTTCGTTTATTATACCATATAGATATTGTTCACAGTTTTTTCTAACAAGATATGGCAACCCGCATGAATAAAGGTGTTGGCTTTTCCCCTGTGGTTTTGTGCTCCTAGAACAGGGCTATTCAATTGGCGGCCCGCAGACCGAACCTGGCCCCCGAGGCAATTTGTTCCGGTCCTCCAAATAGTGTGACCAAGACATCACAAATAAATTTAGTTCATTCGAAAAACTGTCGCTATAGTGACGTGCGTCTGTTCAAAACAGCCCAAGCTGCAGGTAAAGACTGCGCAGAGAGTGACATTAAGCGAATGGTGTGAGCAGCCTAAAACATTTGGATATGTTTGTAGAAAAGGCCTTTTGTACAATGCACTGATATCATTAATAGGGATGCAATGAATAGCCGATTTCACTATTAACCTCGCTTTTATTCATTAACTTGCTTCTCAATGCCGCGTTTCTGTTGCACGGAAAAAAGCCGCTGCAACTAAACAAAGTTATGCCAATACTTACGCACATTGGATTAACTATAGCAGCAAGCCATTGACATATTGAGACTTTTCCTCATGCAAGTACATTATTTCCAATGGAAACCTGCGCATATTGGGAGCGATGCGGGCGCTTTTAGTGCAATGTAAACAAAAGATATGTTAGACGAAATATTACAAATTGTTAAAATGATTATGTATGTATAAACGCAGGTAATAACAACAGTTCATTTAAATTCGTAGCTAATATTCATTCATTCATTTTCTTTTCGGCTTAGTCCTTTTTTTAATCTGGGGTTGCCAGAGCGGAATGAACCGTTAACTTATCCAGCACGTTTATACGCAGCAGATGCCCTTTAAGCCGCAACCCACCACTGGGAAACATCCATTTCTTTATGAGCACAAATACAGCATATGGGCTCTTGTATGATGTTGTGTCATCTCTCTGGCCCCTCTTTTGGAATGCTTTATATGAACTGGCCCCCATGAAAAACTAATTGAATAGCCTTGTCGAGTGCATACAGAAGAGAGACAGATTTTTGTCAGAAGAGAACAACAGTTTGTTTCTGTGCACACTGCATAGATTTATAAAAAATGTAAAAGTAAATGTGGTTGTCACTACCTGAACTTTTTACGAGTTAATTTGGTTTTTGAATGTGGATGTCACTCTAGTAAACAATGTGTACAGAACAGGATTAAAAATTAAAAATGCAAATTTAGTATAATGCCCTAATCAATCATGATGAATTAAAATGTTACATATGTTGACTGTGCAATAAATTACAGCAAATGAGTAGCCTTAACTCACTAGTGTTGCGAGAACATTGTAAAAAATGCTTTATCTTAGAAAGAAATAAACCACTGAAATGTGTTTTGAAATATTTTACATTCCACCAGTGATATAACTAAGCTAGAGTATGAGTTTTGTGAAGGAGTTGCCTTGAGCACCTGTTGGAAAACTGTTTATAATTATAGAGATTTTCCCACTCAAATAGTGTAACAGTGACTGTAAAGCACGCTTTTTAGGAATATACAGTAAGTGGCAAATGTAAGTTGTGATATGGACAGGATCATTGCGCCTTTTAAGAGTATTTTCAGTTGACCTTCAGGCTGGTTTTGCACAAGAAATGTTGTCTGACAAAATAAACATAAAAATAAGTTAAAGACAATCATGAGGGGGAACATGACTTAAAATAGGGATTGGCTTTGACGAAGAAACAAATGTAATTGATTTAAATTACTTAAGGTAATTATGTATGTTATGAATATGTATTTTAAAAGGATTTGGCAAGATGTTTTTGTTTATTTTTTGTTATACTGCTTGGCATTTCGGCGACGCAGTGGCGCAGTAGATAGAGCTGTCGCCTCACAGCAAGAAGGTCGCTGGGTCACTGGTTCGATCCTCGGCTCAGTTGCCGTTTCTGTGTGAAGTTTGCATGTTCTCCCTGCGTTCGCGTGGGTTTTCTCCAGGTGCTGGTTTTCCTCACAGTCCAAAGACATGCGGTACAGGTGAATTGGGTAGGCTAAATCGTCCGTAGTGTATGAGTGTGTGTATGTGTGCGAGGATGTTTCCCAGAGATGGGTTGCAGCTGGAAGGGCATCCGCTGTGTAAAAACGTGCTGGATAAGTTGGCGGTTCATTCCACTGTGGCGACCCCGGATTAATGAAGGGACTAAGCCGACAAGAAAATGAATGAATGCTTGCCATTTCCTTTGAGTTTTTGAATTTATTTTTTTTAGCAATTACAGAATTACAGATTTTTTCTATATTAATAGTTCATTGCTTCTTTACACAAACTCAGGAAAAACAGTTAAATTTCATATATACAGTAAATAAAACAGTTGGTCGATGTTGTGGCTTAACTTACTGTTAATTTACTGTTACAGAGTCTCCCGTCAGGTCCCTCTAGATTTGATTATTCTTCTGTGGAACAGCAAAATTCAGCAGAAATTTAGGCAATGACCTGTATTATTGCTTAAACATTTCCTGTTTGTTTTTTGAAGCTCTGCTAGTTATTACATCTCTGTCTGGAAGATAACATCCCGCCTTGAGTCTAGGCTTAATCATTGTTTGTACTCGTGTGTCACGGTCTGCATAGGAACATTCATCACTACTACTTCCTCAGCCACACGCCCAGCCCGAAGTGTTCGCTCTGTTTAACCAATGAGAGTGAGGGAAAACGGCGACGTAGATAAACTGCACCTGTGTCTGCTGGCTCTCAACATATTGTAAACTGTTAAATATAGCTCTGTATGTTGAACTAAATGCTAAACTGTAATCATTTATTGGCTTTAGCTCTGCTTTCTCACCTTATA